GTTGCCTTACACATGGTGGAATGATCCCAGTCTCAGTCTCCACACAGGGAGGCCAACAGCTTCCAAATGAACACTCTGTATTGGCTGAGCATTAGTTTGTGTCTTGTAGCTGGCGATAGTTCACCTTTGTCTGCCCTGTAAATGTCCGCTGCATGTTTGCGTGGTTTCTCAGTGAGAAGCAGTCTTGCAGCAGACGGCGGCATGTTGCTAGTGGGCCTTTCAAACAACCAACAACAACATATATACTAAACTATGTACGACATTACGACTATGTACGCTGAGATACCAGCAGAACTGATTTACAGTGAATCCTTTGCCCGTGTGTGCAGAAGCCGCAGGTTCACGTCCCGATCCAGCTGTTTCTGCACCAGTCAGCACCAGCGCACCCACCACCTCCACCAGCGTGGCCGGCACCAGTCGACCCAGTGGCGCAGAGCCAGTCCTCAGCCTCCACTACAGCTCAGAGGGGACCACCACCAGCACCATCAAGCTGGACTTCACCGATGAGTGGTGAGGGATTTGAGTGCAAGGCGATAAAAGACCGATTGAAATAAGTGTTTGTATAGTTGCCCTTTTATCCGTGAAGCATGTGATAATGGACCCCTTCAGCAAGGCGATTAGGTGGGGTGGGGGCCATAATGAGGCAATTGAATTCAAACAGAAAGCAGGCATCAAAGCAGGCGCCAACCTACGATTCTGAAAAGTGAAGCCAATGCAAGCGCCATAAATGTGTATTCTTTCAGATAACCAGCAGGGGGCGGCGACTCTGTTTGCAAAAATAAGTGATTGTATGAAAGTCCATGAGACGTGGGGCCGTACTTCTCACTTGCTTTTTTACCACAGTAAATCAAGTTTATGGTCTAAGTCGCTAGATTCAATGCAGCATTTAGTAAACTATGGTCCCTGATATTTTCCCACATAAATCAAACATGAAGCATGGTGAATATTTGTTACTCTCAGTCACTGTCTCAATCTTCCTCCACAGGAGCAGTAGCACATCCAGCTCAATGGGGAGTGGAGGTCCCAAAGCATCGGAGGCCGTGGCCATCCAGAGCAGAGAGACTCTGTTGGCGGAGAGTTCGGTGTCGGAGCAACGTGAGTCCTTCGTCATCAGGAGACCTGCTCTGACACAACAGGAAATCAAATTAGAAAAAGTCACTTGCGGAAAAGCTATGCTGTCAAAGAGGCCAGCGAGTTTCGCATTTTTAGCTTTTTCCCAGTGCTGATGGTTGTGTTCCTAATGTTTGATTTGGAGAAACTCCACTGAAGACACAACGGTCATCACTATCATGACAACAACAAATCTTCAAATTCATTGGTGCAAACAATGGAGAGCGACGCTGTAATAACACAGGACTTGCACTCTCTCACCTTTTTAATCAGCAAGAAATGAATATGAAATGCACACAAACGCTCCTACAAGTCCCACGTGTAGCCGTGTGTTTTCCCCCCTTCAGCTCCGCCCGCGTCCTCGGGGCAGCAGAGCGTCCAGGCCGCCTCCACGGAGGCGCCCTGCAGCGCCTCCTGCTCGGGGGCCCTGGGCAGCTCGGCGGCGGGCTCCTCTCGGGGGGGCGCCGTGGCCCCGCCACCGCCGGCGGAAAGGAGCCAGCCGGAGGGCAGCGAGGACGCGTCGGGAGGCTGCAGGAGAGCGGAGCCGAGGGGGGGGGAGGAGGAGGAGGGCCAGAGTCAGCCCGCACGGGGCCACCAGGACTCCGACGACAGCGACGACGATCCCATCCTCATCCCGTCCACGAGGTTCAGAGGTCAGGGACAGAGGTACGCCAGACCGCTCCCCTTTCAGCTCACCCGCTGCAAGCAGCAGAAACACCCTAATTTATTTGAATGCAGGTTAATTAAATCTGTGATTGTTTGTCACTTTTAACGGGAGGATATTTTGATTCCTTTGTGATGCCTTCCCGTTGACTGTTTTACTACAAATATAGATTAAATTCCAGAGGATCTGCAGTAGGAGATAGGATGATCAGGTAAAGTGTTTGCACTAAAACCATCTAACCTCCCAGGTGTGTGCCATGCAGCAGAGCATTGCAACTCTACAGCATAACGTGATAAAGAAAAGCGTTTCGTTGCTTTGGTCATTTCACTCACAAAGAACTAACACACACACACACACACACACACACACGGCTGACGGCAGCGTGAGAGTGACGTGCATGTGATGTCTGACTCAGCGGAGAGCGGAGCAGCAGCAGAACGGCCGCATTTTGAAGATGTTGTACTGGAGAGATGAATGATTGAAGAAAGTGTGCATGAAGGAAAATAGTCGGACAAATAGATTTTTGATCTGGAGGTGGCAGATTATTTTTTCTTTCCGACTAGTGTTCTACGTGCACAGTGTTGATACCACTTAGTGACGCCACCGTTGTTAGTGCACAAGACTTTGCACAAACAACAATATAAGGAGCTTGATTCAGTTATGATTTAATTTGCCTTTAAGTGGCCGCTTTCCAGCTTGGAGTTTGTCATTTGGTTGAATGGATTTTTATCGCCACAAATTTCACTCAAGATTCAAAGCATGAGTTCATCAGCATCAGAGGCAGCATGGGTTTGTGATTCTTTTGTTTTTTTCTTCTTCTTTTGTTTGCTTACTTTATGATCTCATGTATGGTTTTGGTTTTTGTTTTACAGACGCTCAGCCGCCGCTCGGATCCAGGAGCTGTTTCGCAGGAGGAAAGAACGAAGGGAGATGGAGGAGAGCGAGACGCAGAATATCAGGAGACCCTCAGTGAAGATGGTGTACAAAGGCCACCGCAACTCCAGGACAATGGTACACCTCCATCTCATATACTGTAGAGACCTCTTGAAATACGTGCTTTATCTAATAGGTTGAATTGATCCCACTCTGTGTGTTCACTATGAACCTGGGAGGCCGACAGCTTAGCACAAAATGAGGGGCGGTTTCTTTTAACGGTGTCTTTTGTGCAGATAAAGGAGTCCTGTTTTTGGGGCAACAACTTTGTAATGAGCGGCTCAGACTGCGGCCACATCTTCGTCTGGGACAGACACACAGCGGAGCACCTCATGCTGCTGGAAGCCGACAACCACGTGGTGAACTGCCTGCAGCCGCACCCATACGACCCCAGTGAGTCGTCTCGTCTGACCTCGCCCCTCTCCGCCTCAGGTGATCAGACGATTTTACGGAGTATAGTAATGTTTATTCTTGTGGTCTTTTTCAGTTCTGGCATCTTCAGGGATTGACTACGATATCAAGATTTGGTCGCCACTGGAACAGTCGGCATCGTTCAACAGAGTCCTGGCCAATGAGGTACGACAGTGGACTGATCGGTTAATTGATTAAAATGTGTGCGTTTCACATAACCGACACAATGGATGTGTCTGTTAAGGAAGGAACGGTTTACTTTTCTATTGATTCCCCCCCAAAAAGATAACTGATGGGTTCTTCTGTAAGAGTATTTGTAGCTGTTCTTAAACAATCTCCTTCTTTGGGTATTTAACTTGAAGTGTAAATAGTAGTAAAACAGCTTAATTTTTTATTGATTTTCCCACCACAAAAAAGATAACTGAACTATCCTCCCCCGAACAAACCCACCTCTCTGGGCAAGATGTAACACATTTCTACTCTTTTGCACAGAATTAATGTTTGGTAGTGGGCATGAAGTACCAATCAAAATTTTGGACACTTTCTCCTCCATTGAATAAGAAAGCGTGTCCAAACTTTTGACTGGTCCTGAATGACGTAGCAATATGCTAACTAGTGTACTTAAACAGTCAAACCCGTTTAGGTTATATTATATTTTCAAATAGCAGACGTCTTAAGCACAGGGGCCAATGGAAAAAATGACATTGATGTTTCAGTCAGAACGGTTTTCCCTTTAAGTCGATTTCAACTTCCATCACACTCGCTCTTCGTCTTCGCCATCTTTCCTTTCAAGGTAATAACTCGGAACGAGCTGATGCTCGAGGAAACCAGGAACACAATCACAGTCCCGGCCTCGTTCATGCTCCGAATGCTGGCCTCCCTTAATCACATCAGATCAGGTACACCATTGGTTTGAACGTTGGTGCCTGTGGAAAGACGGGCAGGACGGACACTGAACACTCACCTTTTTTGCCCTCCTGCAGATCGACTAGAAGGCGATCGCTCCGAAGGTTCAGGACAGGAAAATGAGGACGAGCAGTAGCCCGCTGGCATTTTACTTTAAATAACTTTCTTCTCGCTGTATAGCACTTGAAAAGGAAAAAAGAAAAAAAAAAGATTTGTACAAGTATAGTGTAGAATATTTCCTTTTGAAAATTAGTGTAATTTCTAGCCCCGTGTTTTTTTAAGATGACTTTCTTACTGATGTTTCTGTATGAGGATAAAGTACATCTGTGTGAATGCAAAAGGCAACGTCAGTATATATATATATATATATATATGCGTGAGAATAATGGTGGCTGGTGTGTAAGGATGTTACGTGCAATATTATTTTGTTAGGAGAAAGTGAGCTTTGATCAGTGTTAATGTGTGACATTTTGAATTTGTAGCACAAAGCTAAGAAATGTCGATGTGCTGCTCCAGCAGCGCCGCATGTAAACAAGGACTTTAAGTAAAAACATACTTGGAGATTGCTTTAATTTTATTGTTGGAGAGAAACAAAGCTGTGATTCTTCTATCCAAAAGGGAGATGTCAATACAGTAAATCTTTTACAGGATTTTGAAATAAAATAGCTGGAAAATGAAGCTTAAGACTGTTCAACAAACTAAAATCCCTTTTGAATTTTTGACTGCAGAAACTCCTCAGCAGCTGCACCTTTTGTAGCAGCTAATGTAGCCTCGAACCATTAGCATCAAGTAGCAATGAGGAATGATCTGCAGGTTGAAGGAAGCAGTGAGCCGGATCAGTCTGGACGACCTGCACATTTCAAATAGTGTGTGTTAGTCATCTGACCCCGGAGACACTATTTAGCATTAACTAAAAAAAAAATCCTCACAGGAGCTTTAAGCTCATTTCAAACTAAACTAGTCTTCAGACACACCGGATTGAGTAACGTTTATTGGTAGCACTTCAAACAGCTCTTCATGTTGTACATTGTTAGTTGGTAAGATGGTTTCTTCTGTAAGAATGTTTAACTGTTCTCTATAACGACCTTATTGTGATACGGTGTGTGAATAATGGTAAAGCCGCTTCAGTTTATTACTGCAAGACATGTGGTCGCTGTTGAAACATCGCACAAGCTTCACAACCACGAAAAAAAGAAAGTTCAGAGCGTTTATATGAAAGCATTTTAATAGAACAATCTTGATACAAAACCTTATGGCAAATATTTCTAATACTTAAACTGTATAGCGAAAATGAAAAAGGTTACATCACTTTGTGTATAGTACCATTCAAAAATATAAAAAGATGGAGGTAAGACTGAAGCACTGAACTTATTACAAATATCAGTTTCTTTCATAACTTTAAAGGGAGTGCTGGAGTGTAATCTTGAGGTAAACCACATTTGCCAACACTTATTTAAGAGCAGTTTTTTGTTAAAACGACCACATGGCAGCAACAGTAAATTCCTGACTGGTAAGCGATGATACTGTCTACAGTAATTCTTGATTTCTCTGACACAATGAGTAGTTTATATGTGAGCGATCACATACTGTAGCGGTTAATAATAATGTCATTACCATTCCCGTTTCTTCTCCTCTGCATGTTTATAATCAACACAGGTGTTTTCCTATTAAGCTGTGGAAAGTTTTTCCATAATGAATTATGGATTTCCAATGAAAATACATACTTTCCTATGCAAAATTGCTCCTCGGCGTCTTGGTTGGGAGCTTATCCCAGCATGCACTGGGGTAGAAGTCAACAGACAAAACCGTAAAGGTTATTTTGAGTCTTCAACCCCCATCAATAGGCCTTCTCTACAGCAAACATTCAGACTCATGACAGCAGGAAGCCCACAGGTGTTACTAAGAACACTAACTGGGGGGCTCTGTTCCAAGGGCCCCAATAAAAACAGGTCAGTGAGTACTGTTGTTCGCTGACCCATCACCGGTAATGACACATCGAAAGGCCTCTTTGATTCAACCGTGATTAGAAATTGATGGTTAAGACACTTAATTTGGAAAAGGGCTTAATTCAAGAATTTATATGCTAATCATTGCTGTCAGAAGGCCTTTCGCTTACTGTGGTTTTAAATAAACAGTCATTTAGATCAATCTTTTTGAAACTAACTTTCTATCACCAAAAAGACGTAACATCTGTTACACACTCCCTTTAAATTCCCCCTTTATTACATTTAAGGCCTTTGACTGATTATGGCGAATAAGAACTCTACTTACGGGGTCATATCAATTAATTTTTCTTAAACCTCCAATATATTTCACTTTGACACTTTGATTTTAAATAAATACGGATGCAGATCATTCAAGCTAATGAAAACCCAAAGTAATGGATATTATGTTTCACTGTCAATGACCAGTATTTTAACTCTCACGTGTCCAACTCTGCATGCGGAAAACGCGTGTGTGTGCGTGTGTTCTACCAGCACACTGTCGTCTGTACCTGAATAAAGAATTTGGCTTTGAGATCGTCTCGTAATAAAATAGTTTAAAACTAACCGAAAACATAGGGCAAATTCTGAGGACCTTTTAACAATACAGAGTAATAGACAAATTACTACAACAATGTGATCCTTTAGGTTACAGTAGTTAAGGCTTCCTATTGATTACATGAAACCACACAAGACACTGATGGCGCACCTGGTTCGACATAGTGGAATTAATGTGCCTCTTTGTTTGCTAATCATTTCAAGTATAGAGTACCCATGTGCAGACAGGTCAACCTTCATAAACTGCACCAGAGCGGGACAAGCACCACTCTAAATAGTCACATGTAGAAGAGTTTGGGGTGTGCGCAGTGTAAAAAACACATCACCACACCTGCTTGTGTTCATGCTGGTTTTTCCTCCTCCTACTCTTCTCGGCCATCTTTAACGATCCCTTCATCGATGCTCTCCAGCCTCAGTCTCTGGCCGTCCAGGTATCTGGGTCTTTGCGCCGCTCTTGTCGTGAACAGCCCCCCCGGGAGAACCAGACCGTCCCCAAACAGGGTGAGCTTAGCGTCGCTCTCTATTGCCTTCGCCAGACAGGAGGCGAAGGTGTCCAGCGACTTGTGCACCTCTGCGTGGACTTGAACCGAGGACGTGGCAGTGTTTTCGGCTGAGGAGAAAACCACCGATACTATCAGACCAATGTTGCTTAGTGTGGGGCCCTTTGTTGACTACAAGTAGCTTTTCAAACCCCCCAGTAAGTATGGAGTTAACTCCCTTCCCCTCTAATCTGTTTATGGAAATGATACCTTTGGCTTGCTCCACCTGGTCTTCAAAGGTGACAGAGCTCCTCCTTTTTCCGGACGGATTCCCGTGCTGTTGTGGGTGGGAGGAGCCGTCTGTGGAGAAGTCGTTTAGCAGCATCACATCTGTGCCTGTATGGGAAACATTACAGAGAAAAAGAGTTAATCGAGAGCAAAATGGAGAAGTAGACACATTCCTAATTTTAAAAAAAAACACAAAGACAGCTGGACAATTCAGGATATCTCATCCACTTTCAAACGTCAGATAAGTTAATAGGAACACAATTCTAACATGATATCTCAAACTAACCGAAGTTTTTTGTTTTTCATGTCTGAAGAGTAGGCTGTAATGTTCCTGAAGAGAATATACTCCGTACTCAATTTAATTTCACACAAGAGTAAACCATGTCATTATTTCAATCCAGCTTCTTAAATGGATCATTGTTTATCTCAACTAAGCGTATATTTTTGTGGTCTGTAACCATTCAATCAAACATACACGTAGTTGTGGCAGATCTGCATTTCATTATGTGAACATTTATTAAAAAGTTGTAAACTTATTTAAAAAATGGAACATCTTTGAGGGTCAGTATGTTAATGTTAATTGAAAAATGTTGATTGGTAATTATTTATTGTTGGCCTGAAGGGCGTTTAACATGCAGCACTTACATGAGTCCTGAGTGAAACTGAAGCCAGTATCTCCCGTGCTGCTGCCTGGAGCCAGCAGATGACCTCCGCCGGCCAGCATAGCGGTCAGGTGAGGGGACATACCCAAATCTGAAAGAACACAAGCAAGATCTTGTTGAACAACATTATACAACATGTTAAATAAACGGAAAATAACCAAAACAGGCATTTTGACACTTAACATAAACCACTTATTATTACACTAACATCTATTCCAGCAAACTTTGCACACAAAAACACCTCTACTAGTGTGTCTGTTTACAGTATACAAAAACAGTTTAGTGTGTAAATAAACTGTACCAACCTTCTCTGTACATAAGTTGTTTTTTAAATCTTTGTTGTCCTTGTGCTGACTGACTGTATGCCTATTTTTATCTTCCCAAATAATTTCTTTTGGTCTATGAATTGTTATCTTTACCTAAAGAGGTAATAAATAATAAAAGATTTTGAAAATTACATCTTTCTTTTTGATCGATTTGCATGACCGCCGCTCACCCACCTGTGATCCTGTTGGAGATGCTGAAGAGGCGGGACGTCCTTTGCCGCGTGGCGAACGACTCTCTGTAGTAGCGATCGCCAAAACACATCCCCAGCAGCTCCTTCCTCACCGTCTTATTCCACAGGCCGTAGATGAACGGGTGGCACACGGCGCTGCAGAACGACAGCCATGCCACCAAAGTCTCCAGTCCCTGAGACACACTCCCGTGTCCCCATAAAGCCTCGGTGCACACCACCGCGACATACGGCCCCCAGGTCAACAGGAAGGTGCCGACTACCACCAATATGGTGACAAAGGCCTTGCACTGGCTCCCTGCGTACACGAGGCTCCGCCGGCTTCCATTAGAGGAGGTCGAGGTGCTGGAGTTTTTACGTCCGTTCTTGTGGGCGCCAGAGGAGTCCTCGTGGGCCACAACCACCGTCCCACAGTGCACCTTCCTGGCTTTCATGCGGGCAACGCGGAAAATGACACCGTAACAGGCAAGCATGATGAATAAGGGGGGGAGGATGCACCAGATCACCCAGAAGGCCGTGTAACTCGGCTCTCTGTGCCAAGACGCCACGCAGGTCCTCTTGAAGCAGTCGAACTCAAAGGAGGACCAGCCAAACAGAGGCGGCAGACAGCCCACCAGGGAGTGCAGCCACACATAGGCGATGGCAACGACAGCCCGGTTTCCCGTGATCTTCATGGGGTAGATCATCGGGTAAAGAACTGCATAGTACCTGTTCGAATGAGAGGCAAACACAGTTAGGGAAGGGGGCCCTCCGGTCCAAATACAAGGACCGACTCGGATTTCAGTGAGTGATACAGAAGCTAAGGGCTAAAAGCTGCACTCATCCCCCCAACAATGCTGTTAAGTGTTTTCCAAAAAGCTGCATACAATCGAAACGGAGGCTTGGCAGGAGAACAAAAACATGCACTGTAATCACAAACTCCCAAAAGGTGACGAGGGTAATTAGGAGAGCAGAGGGAACAGTGAGGACTGTGTGCTACAGAGCTCACTTACAGTAGATCTCAACCACACTTTGCAACAATGTCACTTTACCTGAGAGACGTTACATTTCAACCAACCTGAAGTCCATCTAAAGAAAACTAAATACACTCATGTTCACTGGTGCAAAACTGATAAACTAGCAGATTATTAGTTTAGAAATTCACAGAGCCCTTGGGAGACATCTCTTTAAGACTAAAAAACTCTGGAGCTAAGCAATGTTCATGAGACTAATTCTGCTTGCTAAATGACCCAAATCATTTCAGTAATACAATTGTTGACAAAACTTTAAAACAATTACTCTTTCATCTGCACTTTGTGGGGAAAAGCATATCTTTTTGCCTGGATGAATTTAACGCATGTGGTCATATTATCCAAAAGTGTGTAATACGAGGGAACTCGTAAAGTACCTCCAGTAAGCAGCTCACCTACGTTTTTAAGTGACCTGCTAAAAGACATGAACAAAGTCCAGAAACAAGCTTGTTTTTGTAACCATGGGGTCAATGCTTTGTCAGGATAAAAGTTGTAACATAACGCTGGAATTGAAAGCTGCATCAGTCACTTCTACCAAACAAAGGACCAACGTATGAGGTGCCCACAACTGGAATAGGTAAATAAATCATAAATCATTATCTGTACTTTAGACTCCAATAATCATCCAGCACTGACCTGTCGATGGCAATGGCTCCGAGGGTAAGCATGCTGGCAGAGCTGATGAGCAGGTAGAGCAGGGCAGTGAAGTTACACCACACAACCCCAAACACCCACTCCCTCCTCACGGAGCTCACGGCCACAAACGGGAGCACCAGCGCGGACAGCAGCAGGTTGGACACGGTCAGGCTGAACACAAACTTGTTGCTGGGCGTGAGCAGGTAAGGCCGGCGGTAGAGGGTCGCCACTATCAAGAGGTTGCCCAGGCAGGCCAGGAGCGTGATGGTTACAATGGAGACCGACTCCAGGGCGGCCAGGCCCTCAGCATTCCCCACAGCGCTGCAGTTCCTGCTGATGTTCATGGCGTGAGGCTGGGCCACCAGACAGGTGCGGAAAGGGTTGGCGACTGTTGGTGGAAAGGCGTAGTTAAAAATGATGATATTACAGAGGAACATAGTCTGACCGTTAAAATGCCAAATCACTGCTGTGTGGAAATGCAAGTTTGGGGAGCAAAGAACCACCATTTTCATAGCTAAAAATGTAATTTAATTTCCCCGACCCAAAGTGGATTTGTTCCAACTTCTTGTTTTTTTTCCCCCAACCATGTTCCCAATGATATTTAAGTAAAAGCTGCAGCGCCTGACATTTAAGAAGCTGTAACCAGAGAAGGTTTTGGCCTTTTTTGATGACTGAATTAAATTAGAAATTAGAAATCAATGCCGGTACATTTTCTGTCATTTCCGCTACAACAGATTGTACTGAGATGTATGAACTGCATGACCTCAACTCTGATTAAATAATAAAAATAGTATTGGTAATGTACTCACAGTACAACGGTACTTGTGTTTTTCATATGTGTGCTACTTCATTTAAAACCACAACACATTTCAAAACAGCAACATTGTACATTTTACTGCATATTCATACAAGAGCTTTAGTTACTTTGAATACTGTTAGCTTTTCACAAATCATAGATTTGAAAATAAGATAGTTGGAGATTAAACTATGCAGCAATATGTAAAGTTAATCATTAGCCAAAATTCTGCTGCAAAATTATGCAATATTGTAGCTAATAAACAATATGCACCAGTTCCTCTATTTACAAATGGGTTCGGATTCTGTGATGACGCTTACGGTTTTACTTTTGAGGGTATAACAGTAAATTAGTAATTAGCTTTTTACATTTTAGCACCATTGGTAATGTTGAGCAGAGGTTGTAACGTTGAACATGTAACCTTAAAGATATCTGAGCAATTACTTAAGAGTTTTTTTTACACCAAAATAAAACCAAATGCACGTTTCGGGTAAAAGTTTACGGCAAGAAAAGTAATATCAGTGGAAGCGCTTTTCAAACGTAAATCCACGGCTAGCTCACTTATCTACCGTTAGCTTCGGTTGACATTATTTTACCAGAAAGAAACCATATTGTTCGTCATCTCCCACTTCGACGTTAACGTTACTGGGACAATCTTTACAGAGACGTAACGTAAAATGACAAGTCTGTCCCATTAGTCCAGCTGTAATGAAACGCGTGTGTCCCCGCTGGTAGACGCTAAACTTGTGACAAAGTGTTCCGCCGGTTTCGGCTCGCTAGCCGCGGCTAACGCGTCCAGCCGGTAACGTCCGTTAGCCCGGGCTAGCTCCAACTTTCTCCCCATTGTGCCCGGTCCAAACACGGCTCTCCCTCGCACACTTTTTTTACCTGCTTCGGTTCGGCGCGGCGGCTCCACATTTCCTCCTTATCAAAAGGCGACGCGTCCATCGCAATTGCCCGTTTTCACGCTTAGTGGCCGGACAGCCGGCTGCGGGTTGAGCGCCGGGGGAAACGCGTGAAAGAAAAAAAGCCCGCTCCTCGACATTGCGGAGGTGGATAACGCGAGTCCCTCGTTAAGCCACGGGCGGCCAGCTGCGGCTGCAATGGCGTCCTCCCCCTTCTCCTCCTCTTCCCACCTCAGCCTCTACTCGTTCTCCAGTGGGTGGGTGGTCGTTTCCCCAAACCGAGAACGGTCTTCTTCCGCCATTGTTGTCCCAGTGACCCCCCGATGTGCAGCTTTCGTTAGTTGTGCCACTTTATAGAAGTTATGCGCCTTTTAATGATCATGACACACGCATTGCGTTAACGGTTAATGTGTTTCTGGTGCAACGTGTAGTTGGTGTAGTGCATTTGTATCGATGTTACAGAAAATATGTGCGCGTGTGTATTTCCTTAATGACGGGCAGGTGGTGTTTATGAATGAAGCGGTTTGTGTCATTTTTCATCCGTGTGGACCACCCACGTGGATCAAAGATTCCCGCACATCAACAACGCGTCATCCGACGTCCTCCAATCAACGAGCCGGGACGCTACCGCACGCTTCCACCGGAGGGCGCACATCCACCTCCATGCCTCCATGCAGGTATACTCGGTGGTGTAGTGGGTATACTGGGATTTCTCCCCTCCCAGCGTCATACTCGCCTGTCCCAGAGAGAGCGGGGTTGGGGGGGAAGGACCTTTTAACAAGTAGCAAAGGATTTATTTGCAAGGCAATTTAACAAAATTCACAAACATGAACATAACCAAAACCTGTTGAATGTTTTAGAAAACAGAGAACCTACGGCAGAATTCTCTGTGCAGGTTCCCAAATTACTTGCTGTATTTTTTGGTGTTTCGCAGTGGCTCTTCCTGCATGGCAAGTGTGGGGAAATGAGCAAAAGATTTGTTCATAATTAGTCTGGAGAACAAAGTGAGCTTGGATGCGAAGGCTTTCACGTGTTTGTACATGTCGTGAACAAACTGATCTTTTCCCTGCAGTTTCACATTCAGCTCATTCATGTGTAAAAATATGTCCACAGCAAACACAAAGTCATTAAGCCAGTTCTTGTCGCTTAGCTCAAGGAATTCATTAGATTTTCCCATCAACTCCAAAAATTCAATGATGTCCTCTTTCAGCTTCTGCATCAGTTTCCTCCAGGAATCTAATTGACTGTGCTGAAGTCATCTTGCTCTCATGAAGTTCACAAGTTTTACAACTGGATTCACAACATGATTAAGCTGCAATACAGACTCACACAGGGATTCCTGATGGCTTATGCAGTGGAGGAAAATAAGGTCCTGGTCAGAGGTTTCCTCTATCACTTTATCTTGGTCATACATCTCGTTGTTCATTTCAGGGACTCCATGGTTAAAAACTCCTGTTATTGCAAAACTGTCATCAATGACTCGGATAAAAATGAGGAGCTGAGCAGTGTCTTTTATGTCTGTACTTCCATCCAGTGCCAGTGAATATAACTCAAAGGAATCTGACTTTTTGTGTATTTGGCTCAATCTATCAATCAGTTCCACACAGCGAGTCACAGTCCTGCGTGATTAACTGACTTTTTCAAATTAGCTTTTGTTCTCCGGACACAAGATGTCGGCTGTCTGTACCATACGTTCTTTTACAAACTCCCCTTCGGAGAAAGGCTTGCTAGCCTTTGCTATTTCGAATGCCACCAAAAAACTTGCCTTGGTAGTTGACTCTTGAATCGCAGTTTGTTGGTGAAAAAAAGGTTCCTGAGTCTGTAAATTACATTATTTGCCTGGTAGAGGTCACTGAGGTAACAACTCCACAGTGGCAAAGCCCCTGGGATTGATGAGATCGGTCCGGAGATGCTGAGAGCAATGTGTGTTGGGGGGCTGTCATGGATGACACGCCTCTTCAACATTGCATGGAAGTCTGGGCCAGTGCCAAAAGAGTGACAGACCGGGGTGGTGGTACCCCTCTTCAAAAAAGGGGACCAGAGAGTGTGTGCCAATTACAGGGGTATCACACCACTGGTAAAGTCTACTCCAAGGTGCTGGAAAGGAGGGTTCGGCCGATAGTTGAACCAAGGATTGAAGAGGAACAATGCGTTTTTTGTCCTGGGCGTGGAACGACGGACCGGCTCTTTACTCTTTCAAGGATAACGGACGGGGCTCGGGATTATGCTCATTCAGTCTACATGTGTTTTGTGGACCCGGCGAAGGCGTAGGACCGGGTCCTTCGAGAGATAATGTGGGAGGTGCTGCGGGAGTACGGGGTTTACAGACCGGAAACACCACAAGGGATCGGTTTTGGGCAATGCGAGCTGTCTCAACCGGACATTTCAGGTCGTTGTAGCGATGTGAATGAATGAGATGGTGCAAGATCTTGCAAGGAGACCCAATGCTGTTTACGTGCACGTACTGGGACTATTTTTCTCTAGACTACTGAAATGCGTTTGGTGGCGAACACTATTTTGTGCTGAAAGGCAGCTATTTACTTACTATTTATAATTTCACTGGTAACTGTATTATGAAAGCAATAAGGTACTTGAGGCAGAACTTTATTTTCAATAATGTAACAGTTTGACGGTTCATATCTCCATTTTGTGTAAAAACCCTATTGATTGTTTTACAAATTATATTTAATATGAATTACTCCATTAGACCACCATTACATGTCTCCTCTTGCGCGCCCCCTAGAGGCCACTCGCGGCACCCCAGGGGTGCCTGCACCACACTTTGGGAATCCCTGCTCTAAGGCATTAAACAATGAAAACAGCTACTCTCGGGTAACCCGCCCTGTGGGTCACATCAGACATTGAACTATTCAGAGGCGCCTGAAATAGGACATTCAAACTTTATGACACGAAAGTACAAGTCCACCTTATGTTAAAGTTAAAACTTGAGCGAGGGGATCTGTGGAGCGTAGTCAGTCAGAAGAGACACCATCAGACCCTGAAAGAGAAGACGAGTGTGACGATCAGCTTACGGAGAGTCAAACTCCAGGCGGACACTATTCTGACAGGAACACCTGAACCCATGCAAGTATAAAACGGTTATCACCAGGTTACTCACCATGATCGTCCACTTTCTATTCTCTGCCTCAGAGAAGACGAGGGAGCGGGACGAGTAGAACACCTGGTCGTCCACCTCCTCCATTTTGCGGGGGAGACAATGCAGGAAGGTCCAGTTTGCTTCGGCCACACTTCCCGTCTGTAGTGGAGCAGAAGCAAACCGGCTTGAACTCAGTGACAGAGGTGACGTTAGACTTTAGCACGTTCGCAAAGTATTTACCTGCCAGGCGGAAAGACATATTCTTTCTGACCAAAATAAATACTGTAACCTGTTTTTAGACAATTCTATCATCATGTCCAAGGCAATAGTTTTATTTAAAGCCTGCCTGGAGATTTATAAGCCAGATAAAGTCTGTGATTAATGCTAGAGTGAATGTTTACCATACAAACAATTAGAAGAAAATGTGACCATGTGCTAGACCGTGTTTTTAAATTACCTGCATTGTGATCTGGTAACCTTTAAAGTCTTTGAGCCTCTTTTTCTTTTCCTCCTCCTGTCCCATGCTCACCCAGGTGTCAGTGACCAACACATTGCTGCCGCGAGCAGCCTCCATCGGGTCAGAGGTCAGAACAAGCTGAGTCCCATGCTGAGACAAGATGCAACGTTATGAATGAATAAGAAGTCCTTTGACAAGAAGTGTTTTTAAAATAATGACATCTGCAGACAACCTCACTTCTTTGGAGAGTCTTTGTGCCTCTTCAATAACACTCCTCTCTGGCTCATAACCCTGTGAATCAAAATACAGCTTCAGGTTTGTACATAACAAAACACAACCACTGGCCTTTGTTTCCCAACACACTGGGAGGGATCTGATGCTTGAGGTTGACAGCATGCATCTATATCTGCCAACTATAAAACAAGACAGTAGAGGAAGGCCCAATGTACTTTACGACAAGAAATGAGGCAAACCTTTGGTGTAGCAATCTTAAGATTAACTCCCAATTTAGCTGCAGTCATCATGAAGGAGTGGAGGACGTTGTTCCCATCTCCAATCCAGCTCACTGTTAGACCACTAAGGGAACCATAATGCTCCTGGGGGAGAGTGGTAACGAAGAACACACAACGTCATCATCAATTTCTGGATGGAAATGGCAGTGTGCGTAGGAGTCGCAGTACCTGTAAGGTGAGGAAGTCGGCCAGAATCTGGATTGGGTGGTAGAGGTCGGACAAGCCGTTAATAATGGGGACAGAGGCCTCCTTTTCCAGCTCCTCCAGGGTGGAGTGGCTGTACACTCGGGCCAAGACAATATCGCAGAGCCCCGAGAGAACTCTGAGGCAGGAGTTTACAAGTTACACATGTAAATGAGACAAGAAATACCATGCAACTTAGGACTTCTCCAGATAAAACACATAAGAAAGGAGTACAAAAAGAAGGCTGGTTCCAACCAACCGACTGACATTAATTAAATCTTATTCCCATGAATATAGAGCTCACCTTGCTGTGTCTGTGCTACTCTCATTCACTCCAAGGTGGATGTCCTGAGAAGTGAGGAAACAGGGGTGTCCACCCAGCAAAGCAAAACCTGGAATTATATATTATTGAAACAACTTCAATATTCCAAATGGCCAGCTGGTGCATTAATGCAACAAACACAACCTTATGCAAGCGTAGATGAGGAGCAGTGCAGGGAACGAGAGGAGTGGACCGCAGACGCTTTGTTCCTGGATGGACTGAAAGTCGCCTTTCAGCAGTTCTTTTGTGTCCATGTCCACAATGACCTTAACGCTGCTGAACACACTGGCGAACGGTATCAACCCAGCTAACAGCGCAAGCTGCTACATTTCCATTAGCTTGATCTTATTCGTGTGTATTGCTTTCTTTTATAAATTGTTATCGTAATCATTATTATAAAGGATTATTAGTAATATCTCATTACCACTATTTTACTTTACAGTAAAGCGGATGTATCGTGTTCATAATTGACTTTTCTGAGAGTGCATTTGCTCTCTTTACTTTATTTCAAGTGCATTGTTTGCACTTTAAAATGAGTGTAGAGTAATAAAACAATTAATCCCCCCAAAAATATTGTTCTAATTGTGCAAATGAACACTTACAAACTTTCTTTGTAACATTTTACCATCTGCCTAAAATCAGTTACTTTTTTATTACAAGCACAAATTGAATACAACACCAGACACCTGTTTCTGTGGACATTCTTGTCCTGGTGCTCCTCTTCTCAAATATCATAGCAATCGACTTTCCCTGCAGAAGGGGGAGATACTGAAATACAAATGAAAGTTAGTTACATTTAAATGATCCACCGTGAGGCTGCACGGTGAACCTGAGAACGTTTACCACATGCACACTGCAGCAGCCTTTACTCGGCGTTAGCAACCTGTTTCTCATGCTTGATCCGGTGTTTTAGATCCCCTGACACCCACAACAGCCTCTTGATCTCATCTGCGCTGAAGTCTTTCAGAGTGAGACAGCTGCGACCCTTTAAGGGAACCGAGCCGAGGGAAGCGGCCCCGCTGCTGAGAGACACACACGAGGACACAACGCGTATCAGTCTAGTGGCTCTTGTACTAATATTTCTGTTACTAATAGAATGGACGAACCTAAGTAACGTCACGCTAACTCCGCAACAAAGTTTCCTGGAGTTTCTTACCTGATCCCTCGTGACGAAAGAGTTTTAAAGCATTTGAAGATGGTGTTGTTTACAAATAGTAGTTTAAAAGACATTGTTGCTCTGGTTAACTTCAATGGAAAAGAAACTCAGTGGGAATGTTTCATCAGAGTAAAAGGTTCAATCGCTCGCTCTCAGAGGGCTCACAGCCAACCAGCGCTGGAGCTACCGCTGACGTCACAGCAGAACCCGGAAGCGAGGCGTGGCCTCCTCCCAAGTGTTCACTGTTTGTAGTTGTTAAGATGAGATGGGACGAATAAGGCTCTTTTGGTTATTCATGTTGTAATGTAATGTATTTTATCTACAAATAAAAAAACATGAATTCCTATAATGCATTTTGCACATACAGTCTGCCAGTAAAAATAAACAAACTGCAAATATAGGCCATTGTTACTTGTTATATACACTTTTGATACATTTGAAAAGTTACAGATGTAGAACTTAAAACCATAATTCGTCTCTTTGTTTTCCTTTCAGTGAGGATTGTCTCAACACTGAGTAATTACACCATGAATCTGCTCCCTTGATCACTTAAAAATATGTATGTTGCACCTATGAGTAACTTTATTTTCATGTTGAGTTCTGATACAGCAGCCAACTGGCTCTCATCCATCCCTCTTCTACGCCATCATGATCATCCGCGGAATCAGCACCGGGCGGGGCGGTGCAAGTGAGGATGTGTGAGGGGGGAGAGCAGTGGAGATGACGGGACAGGACGATGTGGACATACCCGGTGAGAGCACTTAATACAGTTAACCAGGATACAAACATATCTTGATGAATGGTATACTTACCTGCCCATTGTACTAGTGGTTCCCACATATCCCATGTGTGTGTGTGTGTCTGTGGTTGACCTGCAGCTATTTCTGTCAGGCAGCTACTTAAATGGCTTGACATGAGACATCAGGTTGGGATTTAGCCGGTGTTAAATTAGAAGAGAGTGTGTTAGTGCTTCCTTTAAGTCTTGCAGGGTTAATTATACCTTTCAAGGCTTCTTTGAAAGATAGTACATTTGTCCTCAGCAACAGGAGCCATCTTCACATTTGGAAAGAGCAGTTTTGGTGACAACATGCCTGGTAAATTCTGGTTGAAGAATGACCAGCCAGTGCATCTATCTTGCGGAGGAGAGCACACTGCTGTCATTACAGGTGCAGACAATCTATGCACATTTTAAAAGGAAACACGTACTGTGTTCAACGTTAAATATTTGAGTAATTAAATAATTATTTTTCCAGCAGAAAATGGCAGGTTGCTCATGTTTGGTGGTAATACTTCGGGCCAACTGGGGCGTGGATTTAAGCCTGCAGCTACCAAACCTGAAACTGTGAAAGGTGAGTTATTTGACATCAAAACTGTAAATAAGGATTTCAATTATTATAACATACTATATAATTCATTAACTGCTTGGTCAGTGAAATTAAAAAAACAGCAGAAAAGCCAAACAGTAACATGGTACATTTATTTACTTAATTATCATACTTAATTTTTGACTATTGCCCTAAAAAACAGGAAAATATTGTAATATTGTATAACATATATAATGACTTTATATAAATTTAACAATCAGTGTATGAAACTGTTGTATTTTTCTTTCAGCCTTAAAGTCTGAGAAGGTGAAACTTGTAGCTTGTGGGAGAAATCACACAATTGTCTGCACATGTAAGATGATTAACAAATAACATCAGAATTTCAAACATATTTCCTTAAATACAGAACCGAAGGGCCCAGAATTGTTTGTGTTGAATTCAGTTTTTGTGTATCTCTAGGGAAGGGTAGTGTGTTTGTTACTGGGGGTAACCAGGAGGGGCAGCTTGGTTTGGGCCACTGCAACAACACCACATCCTTTCACCTGCTGCAGTCCTTCTGTGACCGTGCACCAATCAAAATGCTTTCTGCAGGATGCAACACCTCAGCTGCCTTAACAGGTCCGAACATTGACACTTAATAATGTAACAGGAGCCTCCGTCAGACCAACGTGCTGCTGCCAAAGTCCAAACTGTGTGTGTGTGTGTTATTTGTTTTAATACTCTGTGTGTGTTGTGTTGTGTTGTTAGAGGATGGGAGGCTCTTCATGTGGGGAGACAACGCCGCGGGTCAGATCGGTTTAGGGAAAAAGAGCTTTGCAGCAGAACCCACACAGGTGGATGTTGGGAGAGCGGTGATGTGGGTCTCCTGTGGGTACCACCATTCAGCATTTGTCACAGGTACGACGCAGTCTAACCAAACGCAGCACAGGAGACTGTTTGAGGGTTCATTTAACAAGCCTCCTCATTCCAGCGTTGTGTCGGCTCTCCTTTAGCGGATGGAGATCTCTACTCGTTTGGCCACAGCGCCAATGGAAGGCTTGGTCTCCAGGTGGAGCAGCTGGCCAATCACAGAGTCCCTCAGCGTGTGCAAGGGTTTCTGGGTGATGTCACCCAGGTGTGCTGTGGAGGGGAGCACACTGTGGCCCTCGCAGGTAGGTTTGGACTCTTTTTTTACGGTTTATATTTGATATATGTCAGAAATACACTCATGTTGGTATTGAAAGAAGTATTCGAGTGTGAATACCATCGTGTGGAAAAAGCAGTTTGTGGTTTTAGATAAAAATACAGTATCAGTAAAATTAAGTAATAGTTTTACTAGTAAAAGTTCTCATTATGCAGACAGGCCTTTTTTATGGATGGAATAACTCATTTTGCACATTTCTCAAATAATAAAAAAACAAGAATAACGAATAAAATAATCAATATACAACAAATTCTAAATGCATAAATTATTCATCTGTAAATTAGTAAGCAGAGGTAAACACTCATATGGTCCTTTCCCTTTCTATGACAATTGTTAACATATACGCATAAATTATTGTCTTAAAAGGAATTTTTAGAGAAGCGTGTGAGAATCTTAAAAGAAGACACATTACAAGACAATTCATAAATTCGACTTCTATCAATAATAGACATAAATTATATAACATAAAATACTTTCCACTACTGCTGCTCGTCGAAGCCGTCCATCACATTGTGTCTGTTTTGCCGTGCCAGAGAACAATGTGTACACGTTCGGCAGAGGTCAGTACGGCCAGCTGGGCCACGGGACGTTTCAGTTTGAAGCTGATTTGCCAAAACCACTGGAGCACTTTTGTAACAGCAGCATCAAGCATGTCGCCTGTGGAGAGAACCACACCGCTGTGATCACAAGTAAGTACTCCCCGAAGATGCGTATTACCGATCATCTGGATGCGATTAAATAGAAGTTTCAGTCTTGATGTAAAGCGTTTGTCCTCCTCAGACAGCGGGCTTCTCTACACGTTTGGTGATGGTCGCCACGGGAAACTGGGATTAGGGGTGGAGAACTTCATCAACCAGTTCAGACCAACGCTCTGCGCACGTTTTCTCAAGTACAGTGTTCGGCTGGTAAGTGGATGTGAGGAACAGGCTCAGGGTGGCCGCGTCCCCCTCAGCTCCACCTGTGGGGGTCGTCAAATGTCCTTTATCAAAACACTATTGAGCTCTATGACTGCAGTCCCTCTCACGAGCGGCTTATCCCGTGTGATCCTCGCCAGCGTGCAACGTGGAGTCATTGTGTGTCCCCCGTTTAGGTGTCGTGCGGTGGCGACCACATGCTGGTGCTGGCTGAACCCAGACTGGAAGAGGACGTCCCAATCAGAGAGAGCTTTTGGGAACCAGGTGACATGGAAATGCTGCTGCTGGACACTTTGATTGATCCTAATCCGATATTCCCAATCACGGCCCTCGCTGCTCGAGCTCGCCACAGAGACAAAGTGAGAAGCCTGCACCGTGGTGCTTATTTTCAGATGGTTGCAACCTGTAGGTATCTGGTTTCTGGTCCGATTAATTTCACTATTTATGAATGTTTTTAGGAAAATATGAGATATAAAAAGAAATAATTCTAGGCCCCAATAGTCCTTTCTGGTTTGTCACCTTGACCACTATGATTGTATGTGAACAAGTATTAAATTGTATGTATGTAGGTTGAGAGGGGCTCTTGTTTTACTCTGTGAATCCTGCAGAACGTTTGCTGTCTTAGCTTTAGATCATTGTAATCACAGTTTACCTCCAGTAGAAAGCAGTATTACACCAAGTTGTGGCTCTGCTACAGTGCTGCTGACTAGCCGGTTGGGGGAGCGCCATCTATGTTCAAACCTTTTACTCAATTTTTTTGTTGCTATTTTTCCCATCTTTTCTTTCAGGGAAACTCTGTGGAGCAGTTTGGAGAGATATTTCACAACCTTCCACGTCTGAATTCAGATTTCCTCAACACTTCCTGGCAAACGTCCAGAAATATCTTGACTCCAAAAACGTCCTCGAAGGATTTAGTCGCCCCTTCATCTGCCCCGAAATCAGCAGTGAAAATAAGCCCACAGCCCTCCTGTAGATCTCAAATCTCATCCCTTAAGTCATCGAGCCCACATTCTGCTGCTTCTTCTAAGTCCAAATTCAAAGAGCTCCGTTCTGCCTTACCATCACCAAAGACTATAACTAAACATAGCACCATAGCATCTCACAAGAGGTCTTCAAGAAGAAGACTGTGTGGAGCGGCAACCGCCAACAAGGCCTTAATTGATGAATCTCCTCTAACACCGCAAGAGCCCTGCAGTCCCACCAGACCCTCCAGTGACATTTCCAATAACCATCATCCTACCTCGCCTGAAACAGGTATTTTCAACCCATAATTTCATCCAGTTCTGAGCTGAGTTTTTACCTTTTGTTGGATACTACTTGTTTTCGGCTGCTTCTGTAACCCAATCATTGTCGGTTTTTGCAGAGGGAGATGCTTCTCATGGAAGAATTGCAGTAGAAGAAGTGAATGAGAATATTTCTGAGGATGGAATCGGCCCAGACTTTTTGACAAACATGGTGAGAGAACTTTGGTTTCATTTTAAAACAGTAGAGTGATACAGTATATTGTCCGCAAGGTCATAAAGGCAGAGTTAGTTGATCTTCATTTGGGGTTAGTTGAGTGTTATTTTCCCCTTTAGGCCTCTTGGTTGTAGGCTGGATTATGTTCACTACAAGGCAGGAAGCAGCAATGTTAAACACACACTGACTCACTGGAAAAGTGCTCAGGTCAGCATACATACTGTCTGTGCGTCTGTGGAGACATGTTCCATTTCGCATAACATTGAAGTGAAGTATGAAATCAAATTCAGTGTTATGGTTTCTTAATTTTTACCCATTTCTTTTCAAAATCTTTCTGATGAATCCCCTCAAAGTGGATTCAGAGATTATGAATTGATCTGCTAATTCACAAACGGGTCTGGCCTGCAGCCAGGATACAGATGTAGCAGACTTACACAACATCACACACACAAACACACACATATGTGTCATAGTGCAACATGTGGCGCACAGCAACCCAAACAATTCATTGTTCATTACAATCTTGCCATAGTAGAAACTTCAGGAGTAACAAATAACCATATAAAGTAGGATTCCCTGAGTCCTCAAGTACATGCACCTCAATATTTAGTTAATTGCATTACTTGAACAAATGCAACTCAGTGCTTATGTTCAGTCATGCGTGGCTTTACATGTGTGACAGTTATGAACACGTGGACCACAGTTAGTAATCTTTCATTTAAAATTCTGCTATGACAGAGATGAAATGTCTTTTCTCACACCCAAGTGACTCCCAACGAACCTCTGTCAAATGCAGACAGAAAAACAACGATTCCATTCATCTTCTCTCCACTGTCACCAAGGTTTCCTTTACCTCCCACCCACATCTGTATGTCAGATATGTTGATGACTAATCAGTGATCCGCATCATGTGTGCCCACCATGCAGTGGAAGTATAAAGCTGCAACAAAGGGAAACATCTCAAATTCTACTTATTACATGAGTAATACACTATTTCCAAGCTATGCTTTTTACTGGCAATATAATGGCTTCTTATGTACTGCTGCAAACAGTTTGTATGTTGGTAATTATATTCATTTTTATCCATCTACGCCCGCAAAATCTACTGCAACCTTTGTCCCAAGATTTTCTGATGTAGTTTGTATTTTTATTAATAAACAAGAAACAGCTTCCTCATACCAGCACTGCCTTGCTTCTGGCAGTAAAACACATAAAACATTAAATGGCTACAGATCCAGTAATGTTGAATACAGGTCTGCTGCTGTGGTGGTTCAAGCTTCCCTTTTTATAACACACAAAATCAGACAGACATGTGACCTTTTTCTCCCAGTTTTATTATCATTTTTACATCCCCATTTCCTTTGTGATTTGGTTTAGGAGAAGAAGAAAGGCCCAGCTCTTAGAAGAACACCGGACGAAGGACATTTGTTTCAGTTCAATGGGAATCCAGGACAAAAGTCTCCTACGGCCTCGCCCGCAGTGCTCGTGAAAAGCTGTTTGAAAAACACATTTAAAAGCATCTCACCCGAAGGCAAAGAGAATAGCACCAAGCAGTCCAATAAAGTCAGAACTCACGAACAAACTCGGAAAGAACCCTCCGATTTTGAATCACCAAAACTATCTGAGTCAAGCCAAAAAACTCCACAATCTGTCAGGAAGACACTGACTGAAGCACAACGGGGACTGAATAAAGTGAAGGGAAATGACAGGAGAAAAAGAATTGTGAAAAAATGCAACATAAACAAAGAGGAAATGGAGGCCGTCACTTTAAAGAAAAACTTGGGGGGGGCAACAAAACAGGAGGAAAATAAATCGTCTTTTCAAAAGACACCTCATGGTATCGAGATCACAGAAGGAAATGAAACAACAAGCAAAAGTGGAAGTGGGTCACCTGTAGAAAAAGATGCTGAAATCCAGAATGAAAGCACAGAAGTCAGACGTGTTGAAGTGCAGGTGCAGCGAGTTAAATCAACCACAACAAAAGATTTGCACAAGGTCGGCACTGCTCTGGGAAAAGGTCAAAATAAAGCACCGGATTCAAAATCAGCACCAGTGGGGAAAGAAACCACACGTGTTCAGATTAATACTAATAAAACTGGAAGGGTGAAATCTACACCTGTGAAAGTTGAAGGTGAACTGCAAGAAGTCAAAACCACACTAGTCAGAAATCAAAGTAAATATGGAGGAAACACTTCAATCAAAAGTAAAAGCAAAGCAAACGTTTTAGAAAAAGAGTCAAACAGTCCGCAAATGAGTGACATGACTACAGATGAGCAAAAGATGCCTGACGCTGAAAAGTCCAAGCTCAAGGCTGAAAGAAAAACCGGAAGAGAAGGAGGTGATGAAGTCCGAGTGGAAGGAGAGGAAGACTCTGAAGTCATGACCAGGGCCAAACCGAGAAGCAAGGAGACCGAGGCTTCCAGCTCGCCGATATCCCAGCAGGATACACCGCTCGAACTCCGGAGTAAACCCATTTCCTCACAAAGAACCGGGGCGGTTCCCAACGGGGGGGCGAACTCCCTGCCGGCCTCGGCACCTGTTGGGCATCTGATTGTTTCTGGAACGCGCAGAGAGGAAACTCAGAGCCTCACCGAAGAAGAGCCGAGGTGGGGGGAGATCCTCGGTGCGGCGGCACGTCTTCTTCCGGCTGCTGGGACGGCAGCTGCAGCTGTGGGGCTGCTCGGTGAGGCGGTGACGGCCGTGGCGATGCTGCAGTCTGATAGTGACCCAGTTACCCCCACAGCCCCCAAGACGCCGGGTCGAGTGAAACATTTCACGAAGCAGGGGGCAGTCACGCAGCCTTCGTTTTCCCCGACGGTGTCACATTTTTCTTCCACAGAAGGTCCAAGTTCGCCGGAAGGAAGCACGAGGAAAGGCGGTCCGGTCAAGGAGAACGTGGTTTCAGAAGAGGAGGGTCGTGACGCCACTCGGTCACAACAGCGGGTGAGGAAAATGGACGGGGGGGGAGACTTCTCACAAACAAATCACGAGAACAGCGGCGCAGATGAGGGAACTTCTCAGCAAAAACACGAAGGAGACGAGAAAACGCACACAGATCGCGGCGGAGAAGAAGCCGATACTGTAGACGAGGAAAAGGAGGTGGATGAAGAATGTAGAAGCAATGTCAAAGACAAAGAGGAAGAAGAAGAAGAAGGGGGAGGTGAAAGTATCAATGACTTAGAGGAGAGTGTTACAGCAGCGACTGAGGAAGAGCAAGATCATGAAACCTCAGAGGGTGAGGAAACAGGTTCAAACAGTGAGGAAGAGGATGAAGGAATTGAGAAGGCTCATGTGAATGACACGGATGATGGGAAAGAAGAAAGCAGTGAGAGAGGAGGGGGAGCAGGAAGTGAGTCTGGTGAAAGTGAAGAATCTAGTGAAGAAGAGGAGGAGAGTGAGGTGAGCGAGGATGAGGACGATGTTGGCGTTGAGGACTCTGGCAGCAGCAAAGAGGAGGAGGAGGACGGACACAGAGGTGACGCTTTAGAGTCCGATTCTGAAGTAGAAGAAGAAGAAGAAGAAGACAAAGAAAGCATTGAGAATGAGGAAGATGAGGAACTAAGAAATCTCGACAAAGGTGAGGATGAAGAGGACAACTCAGATGAAGGGGAAGAGGATAAGAGTGAAGGGGAGGAGAATGAGACACAGGACAAAGCAAGTAAGGATGAAGATAGTGAGCCCGATGAAGACGAGGAAAACCAGGATATAAGTGAGGGGAAAGAAGAGGAGGAGGAATGTGAGACTGAAGCATCTGTAGATGAGGGAGAAGATGAGGACAAGACTGCTGTTGAGGAAGAAGAGGGTGAGGATGAGGATGAGGAAGCAGAAGAAGGAAATGAAAAGGGTTCAGAAAATGATGAAGAAGTTGAGGAAGAGGAGCATAAGGAGAAAAAAGAGAGTAAGGAGGGACTCACAGAGGAGGAGGAAGAGGGGGGGGGGGGCAGGAGAAAAAGTATGGAGGCGGTTTCCGGACCAAAAAAAAAGTCTGAGGAGGAAAAATGAGGGTGGGAGAGGAAGGAAATTTAGGGAGGGTTTTCCGGACCGGAAAGAAGAAAGTGGGGAGGAAGAGGAAGGTGGGGAGGAAGAAGAGGTGCGAGGAGGAAGGAGAAAAGTAAGGAGGGGTTTTCCAGAAGGAGGGAGATGAGGGTGAGGAGGAAGAAGGAGGTGAGGAAGGAAGAAGAAATAAAGGAGGGGTTTACAGGAGGAGGGAGAAGAGGGTGAGGAGGAAGAAGAGGGTGAGGAGGAAGAAGAAAGAAAGGAGGGATTTACAGAACAGAAAGAAGAGAGTGAGGAGGAAGAAGAGGGTGAGGAGGAAGAAGAAAGAAAGGAGGGGTTTACAAAGGAGGAAGAAGAGGGTGAGGAGGAAGAAGAAAGTAAGGAGGGGTTTACAGAGGAGGAAGGAGAAGATGGCAAAGGAGAGTTAGGAGAGGAGGAAGGAGAAGAGGAAGAGAAGGAAGATGAAGAGGAGGAAATAATAAAGATGAATGAGAAAAATATTGAGGCCAGAAAGACGATGGTAGGGAGCAATGATGATGAAGCAGAAGAGGAGGATGTAGAAGAGGAAGAGGAGAATGAAACAAAGGCAGAGACAAATCTCAGAAACCAAATCGGAGCAGCAAAACAAGGAGGCCTTGAAGAAAAAAAAGTTAGTGATTCTGGGGGAATTAAAGATGAAAGTGAGGAAGAAGCTGACGAAGAAGATGAAGAGGGAGACGAGGAGGAGAGTGAGGAAGAAGGAAATGCTGCTAAACGTGGTAAGATACATGATAAAAAGAAGGATCACGAGAAAGAAAAGGGGCAGGAAGAAGAAGAAGGGGAAGAAGAAGAGGAAGAGGAGGAGGAGGAGGAGGAGGAAGAAGAGGAGGAGGAAGAAGAGGAGGAGGAGGAAGAAGAGGAGGAAGAGGAGGAGAAAAAGAAAAAGGTCCATTCAACAAAAAACATGCAGGCGTTGCCTCCCGACAGTAAATACAAACAACATAAAGAAACACCCAAACCAGCAGCGAGGACGAAGCAGAGCGCCGCAGGAGAGAAGAAACCAGACGACTCGCAGCAGTTCTGGGACAACGTTCTGCCTCAGTACCTCGATCTGCACTGAACGTATGAACAAAACAGTTTAACAGTTATATTATTCTTATTGTCAACACATTCAACACAAAGACCAGAAATCAGAGGCATTAGTCCGTCTCTCAATGTCTACGAACTTTGTCCAATGATCAGATTGTGAATTCTGCATCGAAATCCAACCCTGCTAATGTGTCCTTCACTGCCTGAGAACCTGTGTGGTGGTTTAAAAAAATAAATACTAAAATGCACAAAATGAACCCCGTGAATGTAAGTATACAACCGTCAAAGACAATAAAACTAAACCCAGACAATATTCTTAATCATTGGCTGTAACACCACATCAAGGTAAAGCGATGATGAGGACAACGGACCTTTTGATCACCTGACCTCAAACATTTCAGCTAAACCGTCGGCTGAAGCCACATCAGCTCAGGAGATCACGGTCACTTCACCAAACGTCTCCACTTCCAGTTTTCTGACCAATCCAAAAACCCTTCAACACCTCCATGTGTGGACTCCCAATCAGCTTTACCACAGAGCCCGTCGCTCTTGCTGTGTTTCTGTGTTTGTTACTGTATAAAACTGATAATCAGGTGTAGGAGATGTTAATACAGAACACATTACTTATAGGGTTGCTATGGAACATTTATTGGTCACTATGGGAAACCACTTGGACCCAACTTCATGTAAAATGTTCACATCATTATAGAGTGAAACACGTAGTAAACTCATTTTAATCGCTCCACTGTGTTACTGCATGAGTTGTATGGTAGTAGTTAAGTTTGTGATATTTCACAGTATTTAATAGGCAGTTCACATCTTGGGTACTCAAGTAAAGCATAAGCAGCAAAGGAATGTCACGATCTTAAATGTGCTGAAATATCTCAAACAAAAGTACTGCAGTTGTGCAATTTTGACCTCTTGACTTTGTTTTTTTGTTTTCTTGACATAGTTTTAGGGATGTGTTGTATACTTTTGTCCACTGCATTTATCTGAAACAATAATAATACTAATAATAATGCAGTAACCAGTAGGTTACAAAATATCTATAGTAATACGACAACGTGAAATGATCCGGTCTGTACTTTTACTTAAGTTTTTATTTCAGGCCTCCAAGCCTTTCTACTTTTTCTCAAGTAAAGGATCTTTAAGTAATTCTTCCACCACTGAGTACACGTACCCCCGACTTGTCCTTGCAGCATGTAACTAGCATGCAAACACATTGGCCACTAAAGAGCACCAGAGGAGTCTAGCAGATCATTGTGTCCTGCGGGGGGGTTTCGTTGGCCTGGCGCCGGTCACCGGGCCCGGTCTCCGCTCGGAGAATCCTCCCCGGTGTCCGGGTCGGGAGCGAGAGGCGGGCCTTCGGGAAGCAGGAATGCGCTGCAAGTCTCCCTGCGCGAGCTTCCTCCTCCACACGCTGCCGACATGGACGCGTGGCCGCTGGTGCTCCTGTCCGTGCAGCTCTGCCTCTGCTCCGCGTACCAAGGTAAGGAGGTCACCGGCACCCCCCATTCGCCTCCCGGACGTCCCGAGCCACTTTCCCGGGGACCACGCACGGAGGAGGGGGGGCACCGAGGGACATAATCGAGCAGTTTTAGATCGTCCGGTGGGAGTGAATGGGATGGGGTTGATTTTTGGGGGGAGGTTAAATGAAACTCTTTGTGTTGGGTGAATGTTTTTTTCTTTGTTGCATTCGTCTGAGGCTCCTTGTCCTCTCAGCTGGGTTTTTGTCCTTCTCTTTGGTGAGCGGCGGGGGTGTTTCCGCGGAGGGGGAGGACAGCGGGGGGAGTGCCGTGTGCATCTGGGGGGACGTTTCTCTGCACAGAGCTCAGTCTGTGGTCCCAGTGAAAGCCTTTGGAGTGTGCGAGCTGTGGAAGTTCTCAGAACGAGCTCTTCACCAACCGCAAAGGGGCTGTAGATCTGTAAAGTACTTTCAGTATTGAAGGATGAGTTGATCATTACACTAACCAGCAGTCATTTTGGTAATCAATTTATCTTTTTTAAAGTCTTTTTTTCAGCTAAATCCCCAGTTCTATATTTTCTCTGCTGTTTTGCTGTATTTTCTACCATTGTGAGTTTAGAATCTTTGGGTTTTGTAATGTTGGGTCGAACTCCAGGGTATTTGATGACTGACCCTTCCTCACCCTTTATTGACAATTCATTGATTAATGTGTTTGTAAAAGTCACACTGAGGAAAGGTATCCGATGTTAGAACATAGGGACTAGACTGATATCGCTGGTTAGACAAGCTGGGCCCGCATAGCCTGCAGAGAGGAGCTGAAAACACTTCAAAGCTCTGGATGGAACAAGTGTTGTGTGTGTGTGTGTGTGTGTGTGTGTGTGTGTGTGTGGTCACAGTGGCAATGTGCCTGTAAATGGTTGGAGAGTCACTACTGTATGATCATACAGGCTGAAACATGAACACAAGGAGCAGAGCAGATTTACTCTGACGGACTAAAAACTGCCTGCTGAGCGGACAGCAGTCTCTGCTCTGTACTTGCGTGAGTGTGTGTTTATCAGGGGTTTATTTTACAGGGGTGTGTTTGCGTTCGGGTGGTCAATTAACCAGTTGAGTCGTCGGGCGTGCGCGCGTGTGCATGCTTCAAAGCTGACCGGCTGTGCTTCACAATGACTCCTTTTTCACCTTTTCAGCTCTTTTTTTTTTAAGTCTCCAAGCCTGGAATCAGTTCTACTTTGCTTCTTACTGTTAAAAAACCTCTCAAGCAAGTAGTCATGAAAGTCAGATAACATTTTCCACCAGGATTTTTAGGCTGAGTCAGGGAATATACATCCACACTCAGGGAGTTATTCGGGGAAATGCCATAAAGTTCCATCCCTGGAGAACAGCCCAGGGTTCAGTTGGGTCTGAGCCAGAAGTAAACCGGTACTTATCTACGTATCCATCTCAAGCAACATCAGTCTCCATGTGAGGCTTGATGTGTCTGCAGAGTGAGCTGATGATTGTTTGTCACTATCGAACCCTTTCAGGGACTTGGTCCATTTTTTATGCATATACAGTGCAGCTACAGCAGACAGATAAATGCTATATATTAATTAAGCAGCCCGATGTGTTGAGTGTATAACTCTACTGACTACTAAACACTTTTTAAATAAATCCTTCCCAATTAACTGTGCTAACCCTTATTATTAAATGTTGTGTCCCTCAGGAAATGTAACTCCTCGTCCTACGCAAGCAACACATTCAGAAATAAATCAGTTTTGATTTAAACTTATAAATACAAATATGGGTCATTACTACTTATCTACTGTGGTGAACCTCACTGACGTCCACAGTGCTATTGAAGATGAAAACAGCAGCAGCAGTTTGTTCCTCAAGGTCAGAAAAGGCTGACGTGTTTAAGAAAGCAGTTTTAGTGGCACATCATTAGTGTCACTCTGTAATCGCGGCATTTTGAATCCAGCGATTCAGGAATGGGATCCTATTTTATTTTCTGCTCCCTTCGGCTCTGTTAGCGACTCACAGGGAATGAGCTGCCACATAATGACGGCTTGTGCTACAGAGCCGCAGATAAAAAAAAGCTAATTGGGCTATCGGCCCCTGTAATTCAAAGCTCCCAGAGGATTGTCAGGAAGATGGGCTTCATACGCTTAGTGCACAATTAACATTTTGACTTCCCTCTTGCTGAGATCCAATTTGAAGAAGATGAACAGAGAAGTGATGCTGGCTGCTAATCCCAACTCATCACCGGATCAAATTTTCTTTTCTTCACATTGTTTGAATCTGGAGTGCTTTTATCAACGGGGACTAACCAGGCGATGACAATTCAATCCAAATGCAGGGCTGCAGTCCGGTGTCATGTTTGTATTTCCAGCACCACCTGACTAGAAAGGTAACAGCAGCAACTGTTTAAATACGCGTGCCATTAAGGATTGGTCAAGGACATTTGCATTGTGCACCCTAAATCAAAATGTCTAATTCTCTCAACCCTGCCGAGTAAATATGATGCACCTTTTCAAAGAGATGACCTCACACGGATTAAAGGTTTGAGTTTGGTTTAATCATGCACATTTTCTGCTTCATACTAGAACATATGCAGAGTCCACACTGCTCCGAGGATCCTCCCATGTCTCTTGTTGTCTTGGTTACTTTAATGAGAAGGAAGTCCAAAAGAAACAGTTCAAGATGACTAATAATAAACAAGGGCTAAATCATCTTGCATGTTATTGTGTTATTGTTGATATAACAGCTGGTTATATCTACAGACAATTAGCTTGTGACAAAGGTCAAGCGACTTGCAACACAAGTTGAATTATACCTCTGTTCCATTTGATAATAACTGGAGGCCAGTGTGGCACAATTGATTTATTATAAGATATTTAGAACAGAGTTCAGGGCCCTTTTCCAATAACAGAGATATTTATTAAATCCTCCTGGGATTTATGCCTAATGCTACGGCCTTTGTTATTTTCTGCTTCCATTGATTTGGCTGAACTGAATTGGGACAAACTACCAGTTCCAAAGGGACGTAAATATGGATAACACAGTGGACAAAAACTCCTTAAAGGTTTGTAGTGTCATGTGGATTGATGTATCTCAGCAGAAACTCAGCATTCACTAAAACGCTTACACGTGTAAACAAAGAACAACGAACGACAGACAACTTCAGTCTCTGCTCCGGCAGACATTTTTCCACTCTATCTTTATGTTGCAAATATTTATTTTGCTGCTATGAATCCCTTTTATATGGTCTTTTGCGGACATACTTGTGCAGAACTGGTGGCACTAATAGAGCGTTTCCTGGGGGCGGCTCCACAGTTGCATGGTTTTAATGTCGAGCAGCAGAACAAACTATCCGCTTTGCATGAGCATTGACTTTATGCAGTTGGAACAGCAGGGATGAAATCAATGAAACAAAAACACGAGGGCTACATGCTTCCATCGTTTCCTGTAAATCCATCGTACATGTGTAGGCAACTTAAACCCCGAGTACCAATGGTTGACTAAATACATTTAATGGTTGTTGTAGAAAAAGAGCACATTAGTAGTATCCGCAGCTTTATGGCAGGATTATGACTTTCTTGAGGGGATTTTTGCATTTGAAGAAAAAAGAGTGAGCTTATCCTCTCAGCCAATATCTTTCCGGATCCTTTTGGCTTTTGTATCTTGTTTCTTTGCATGGAATGGCAGCAATTTGTTACAGAACTCATTATTTTTCCGGCCCATGAAGCCCAGACTAATGTTCACTTTGAAAGAGACACACACACACACACACACACACACACAATCTCACACCTGTAATTCCTTTTCCATACCTTTCTCTGCCTCTCTTCCTTACTCCATTAAGAAGCAGACGATGAAGTTTTCCCATTAGACTGCTACATCTGACTCACTCAGTATGTGGGTTTTCTCTGCACAATCTATGCTGTGTGAGCCGAGTGTTAAAACCCAAAATCCTGTGTCAGTGTGTGTGTGTGTGTGTGTGTGTGTGTGTGTGTGTGTGTGTTTGCGTGAGAGGGTTTGCATTAGAGGACTTTCAGGGTTTCAGTCCAGAGAACCTTTATTGAGAGTGATAGAAAAGCCACGATGAGGAACGGAGGGAACGGGAGGTGAGGTGGGCTCTTAGCATCGGCTTCAATGACCAGCATGCGGCTGGTATGTGAAGCTGAAGGAGGCTTGAACACTCCTCTCCTGAAGACCCCGAACAGAGGACACATTCACTCTGGGCTTCATAACATCCCGGACCAAAACACCCTTCCCCCTACTTTAACCCCTTCCTCACACATTCCCTCTTTACTCTGCATTTCTACTGCTTCCTCACTCATCCCTCTGTCCTCTTCTCTCAAATAATCCTGCTTGCTCATTGCGATTCCCCTCACGTTTGTCTTCTAGGACTATCACTCAAGTGTGTCCTCCACCAGCTCCGCAGCCACCACTGAGAAATATTTCGGTTCCCCCTGAATGCTTCCATTTTATGGCTGCAATGTAATTTCTCTGTCTGAGTCATCTGTTCACTGGTGAAGTTTGATTAAAATGGTAAGTGTGATCTATGGGAGCTGTTTTGGAACAAAAACTTTAAAAATGGTTTCACTCCCTTCGTTTTTTAACAAATGCAATGGAAAAAAAGAAGAAGAAGAAAAAAGCAATACTGGATTAATAGGAATGAATGTGTGTGTTAAACAGATTCATTTTTCCAAACCAGGTGGGATCTTTTGTGATGTATTACTTGTGCATGCTGCCCGTGCAAAAGATCCAGATGTCCCCTCTGGTTCAGCTGAAAAGTTAAGCAATATTTGTAAGCCGGTATAAGTGCTGTTTGCCATGACGAAAAGAGGCAAAGAGGTCAAACCAGGACAACGCTTTCAAACATTGCTTAACGTCTTGCATGCGGCTCTCGATTGCTGTATTAGTGGCTTTTTTTCTTCTATTCTTCCATCCCCAGGGTCAGGACACTACCCAAACGGAGACGATGAGGACTGGTATTCTCGGAGACACACAGGTGAATACATGCTCAGTCGAACACGGCCAACACATTTGAAACACACGCCACAATACGAAGCCATGAGAATGTCCTCATCGTTGTAGAAAACGATGGACAATGGATGAATAAATAAGAGATAAACCATAAACTATTAGGTCCAAACCCCTCTGACCTGTGAGTCAACCCAATGGTCAATAGTCTTTTATGTCTTTATTGGGAGGCAAAAGGGAGGTATTTTTATACAATAGCCTACTTTTCTGATCGAATAGTTGGATTATATCCTTATAATTGCAGCTGAACAATTAACACAGAAATATAGGATTAGAATTAGAAGTATGTCTTTTCTTTAAGGAATCTTTAAAAACAGTCAAAATAGCGTCCCGCTTCAGATTCGGGGTCAGTAATACGCGGAACATTGTTGTCCAGGCCAAATCAAATTGCGTAAAAGCACAATATTATTTTCTCTTACGCAACGGTTGTGGAAACTTTGCCAACACACAGACACACAGAGAGAGAGAGAGAGAGAGAGAGAGAGAGAGAGGCTCACTGTGTAATGAAAACTCGTTTTTATTCCAGCTGGAAATCAGCCTAAAACGGTGCGGTTTCCCTTCAAGCGTGTGCATACGTGTGTGTTGATCCGAGTGCCAGTCCTCAGCCACAAGGAAATAAATAGCAGATTTTGATTAAATTTGTAGCCACCCATCACCCATACTTTGAATATAACAACGAATCTTTGTCATAGGTCTTTTAGAGACGGGCAGAGGTGTCCACCAAGAGAAGAGCAAAGTTGAAGGCAAATTAAATCATCATGAGTATTTAAGGACTAGTCTTTATATTTTACACACAGACGCCACATCTGTATCAAACTCCTTATTTAACTTTTGCAATAAGGCCGTAATTGTCAGTGAAACATCTGCGGTGCGCGTGGTAATCCCATGTTTTGACGGACTACAATAGCACAACCAGTGTGAAAGAAAAGAGCTAAACTCCCAACACGACTGTGGATGTGGAGGTTTTCTCCCTCTATCACTCACAAACCTTAAAACTAAGTGCCTTCTTTCCCTCAATTGAGATGATCTTCTCTGGCTCTGACACGGTTGGATAATGAGATTGCAGATAAGGTAAAAAAGAAACCCTCCGTATCAGTTTGAACTCAAATGATGGGGCGGTTTTCAAACATTTTTCAAACTTAGAAAGTCTTTCTGGGCTTTTATAGTCATCAGGTAAGAGCTTATTATCGAACACTGATAATCTTTCTCTCCAAATCTTGCAGAAAAACACAATGGCCTCGATGCTGTCAAGGACAAGTCATTGCAGCTGTCTTCCTCTGTTTTTTAGGGAGCCCGTGGTGTGCGCCCATTAAGGTGAAGCACGGGGACGTGAGCTGTCGTACGCCCAGAGGAGAGAACTACAGGAACGTGATGGGGACTCGCTGCAAAATCCGCTGTAAGCAGGGATACGAGTCCCAGAGCTCAGAGGTGGTGTGTATGGCCAGCAAGCACTGGTCCTCCAGCTACGCCTGCCAAGGTAAAAACATCCACACATCCATACATACACTCATGGACGGTTCTCATGTTACATTCTAGGTTTGGGGATTCCTGATGGTAATGAGTCCACTTTCTGACCTTCTCTACAGCCGCGAACCACAGCTGACTGTCTTCATCAGAGGAGTTTTTTTGTCCTAAATTAAAACTGCCTTGATGTTCAGTAATTTAAAAATTGGTTTACAACAAATTTGTAAATGACTGCATTGATGATTGAATCTCATGTACTGGGTGTCTATTCTCTGCAGGGTGTAAAAGTGTTTTTGAAAATAGTATTTGCACCGTGGCCCACTAAATCACTACATGGAAGGTTATGGCTAATATTCCTACTACTACTACCTCTACTATTAGCACTGCTGATCTAGAGTCAGATCAGGTTAAGGGGTTCTCCTCTTGCTTTTTTTCCTTCTGGATAGCTGCGTAATTCAAACATTTAATCCAATAGCATCAGTGACGATAGTTGTAACAAAAGACCAAGATGCGCCAGTTTTGTGTATTATTAGATACCGGATATGCACCAGATGCATTGTATTTACCTGAAGCGTATTGAGAAAATCATCCCTTTACAAGCCCTTCAACACTGAGTGCTTTTCTCTGACAGAGATCCGCTGCGCTAAGCTCGACATGCCCGTTAATGGCGGCTACAAGTGCTCGGACGGCTCCTACTTCAACTCGCGCTGTGAGTTCTTCTGCTCGCCAGGATTTATTCTGATGGGGCAGAAGACGGCGACGTGCCAGTACCGCAAGACATGGAGTGCTGGAGTCCCTACGTGTGTCGGTAAGACTGTGTGTGTTGTGATTTTGTGCGTTATTTTATTTCACAAGACCCCTGGGCCGCCAAAACACATGTTACATGTAATTATTTGCCTATGGTTTAATGTGAGCTGCAGTCCACAATGTACTCCTCATAATATAAGGTTACTGTATATAATTGATGTTTGGAATAAAAAGTCCAAGCCTCTTGACTTGTGCATGTAATCAGACACACAACGGGACATGTGGTTTGTCTCTCGTCACCAGAAAATGATAAATGTTTTTCATGCTTTTGCATCTGCAGTCTGATGCTGAAAATGGCTAAAGCTGGGCTTTGAGACCTGCACTTACAGGGGATTGTAGAATTGGTTGAATGGCCTTGTGTCCTCGGTAACGGTGGACAATCACACCGCACCTCAGCTATTAAAACCATACCCGCTTTTTGTAGAGAAATCCAGTTCATCAACAGTGATAATGATTCACTTTACTTATTTTGACCCTGAAAGCCAATCTTTGGCCAGATCCCTTCTAATGCAAAACTTTTCACAGAAGTGTTCTCATGTTGTCTCAAATCATCATGCTTTTAATGCTCACGGGGACTGAAAAGTACGGGTGTTTTGTAGGATCGATGTGCGTGGTTGTGTTTAATGGTGCTAATTTAAGCTGCAATAGTTTTGGCCGGCACATTGGCCCACAGTAGCAAACCAATATCACCTCCAAGGCAACGGTAGTTATGGGTTACATGCATGCATTTCTCTACGCTGCAGTACACAAGGTTTTTTACGTGGACCACAAAATGAGGAGGATGGTGATTTTATTGTCTGGTCTCAGACAAAAGGATTAAGGATTAAATGTAAAATTCCCTGACTAAGTCTGCAAATTACCCCCATGTGCATATTTAAGATACACATCTGTAGTATTAGTCCACTGGAAACAAGTAACCCGCTAACTGCTTTTGCAACCAACACAGAGGTGTAGTTTGCTTATTAATTAGCCACAGGTTATTAAGTGTTTTGATATAAGAAGGTGCTTTTTGTCAAACTGTCTGAAATCAAATAGTTTCATAAATGAGGAAAAATGCAGGTGGGAAATCTGCCAGCATAATCATTACTGACTGTAGTGCAAGGCTGGAAAAAAGTCACTTGTTACTCTTCCTGACAAAGAATTCACATTTCCTATTCATTATTTTTCGCCCATGTTGTTAGATATACAGTTCTATGTGATACTTAAAGAAGTCTCTCTCTTTCCTTCTCTATAGATGTGGAACCTCCAAAAATCAAGTGTCCCAATCTGAAGGATAAGTGGGCAGAACCAGCAAAACTGACGGCGAGGGTGACCTGGGACACACCCGAGGGCGTAGACACGGCCGACGGCATCCTCACAGAGTCAGTCTCACTTCAATGCACCAAGCCTGCTGTTTTCCTATTGGTGATTGTTGCACTCTGCACAGGTGGATCACTGTGAAAGATTAAAACACTGCCTGTCTGTTGCAGCGTTATCCTGAAAGGAAAACCTTCAAAGTCAAACTTCCCGGAGGGGCTCCATAAGATGTCCTACACCGTGTTTGACCGCGCAGGGAACAAAGGATCCTGTCGCTTCACAGTCCGAGTGCGAGGTGACCTAATAAAAGCCTTTTCTTCATTTTGTGGGGGAGGATTTTCGGTAACACTGTATTTTGTAGGGTGATTTTCAGGAAGCCTCCCAGAAAGTAACTTGGTCCTTAAATTGAGGAAAAAAATGCTGTTCTAATTATATTACATTTATTTATAGTGTTATAAGCCATATGTACTGTTGTAAGTGCACAGTCAGTCAACTGATAACAATGATAGCAGTACAATAATACAATAAGAAAATAGGAAGAATAATTCCCTGATATTTTGAGTGAAAAGTGCCTCTCTGTGTCCGCAGTGCGCCGCTGCAGCGCTCTGTTTCCTCCAGACAACGGTTACATGAAGTGTGACAGTGACGCAGACAACTACGGAACCACCTGTGAGTTCACTTGCACCGGTGGCTACGAGCTTCGGGGCAGCGCTGCCAGAGTGTGTCAGTACGGACTCACCTGGTCTGGCACAGACACCACCTGTGCAGGTACATACTGCATGCAGATAGACACACACACACACACACACACACACACACACACACACACACACACACACACACACACACACACATACTTACACAAACACTGCAATCTATTGTCTTTTATTTACTAGTAATCTAATGTGTTTCTTATTGTGTGAGTCAATTCGGGGAACAATTTCCATGTCTCATCCCGCAAGCTTTGACTCTGTTGACACAACAGTCTGGTGCTACATGTGCTAAACTGGGTCCACGTGAAAGAGAAAAGGACCCACCTGCACCATCCATCGGTTCAAACTGATTCCGGAGGCCTATCTGTCAAATTTCAGTGAGAAAAATGATCAGATGGGAGAGAAAACTTTTTCCATACTAGAGTTGCAGCTTTCTTTGGGTGACATCTGCTCAACTGAATGAAATAATCAAATGATCAAAGCATCTCGCTGTGTTGAATATGATTTAGTATTCTCGTTGTCCTGTGCGTCATATCTTCTCCTATCACCTAATTGCACATTCTATGTCATCACAGCCATGAACATCAACGTGGGAGTGCGCACAGCTGCCGCACTGCTGGACCAGTTCTATGAGAAACGAAGGCTCCTCGTTATCTCGGCTCCAACTGCTGCCAATCATAATTACCGCTTCCAGATGACAAACCTACAGGTGAGGCGCAACTCACAGAGTGAACACGAGTTGCGTGTCGGTTAACCAGGACGGACGGAATAGGCGATGGAAGTCATCGCTGCAGTGATTCGCGTGTCCAAAAGGGCAGTAGATGCGTGTTTGATTTTCTCTCCACGCTTTACTGCGTAAGTAGGACAAAGCAGAGAGACAAATAGATAGGAAGGGGGGCTGGGTATGGCGTGTGTGTGTGTGTGTGGTGGTACAGAAAATGTCAAGACAATGATTAAATGATACTGACACTGGCTTTGATAAGGTTTATTCTGAGGCTGGATGTTTCCACGGTTTGTCACAAACCGTTAGCCGTGACCTTTCAAAGTTACGGGATGTCAGCTGAGACCTTGTTAAAAGTTTGCGAACAACCTGAGTGATCCGTCTGGGAATTTGTCTGCCTGTGAGTTGTTTTTTCTTATTCTGAGCAGAATTGATGCTCTATCTATAATTTATTGGTAAGTTGATCAAGGAGTTTGGCTGCTATTTCATTCTATTGTAATGGATCTTTTGGTTTGGGGTTGTGGTTTGGACAGCAACTTTTCTAAGTCGTTTTTAATAGTTAGAATAAACTACCATTACCTTTAAAAGTTAAATTAAATTACATTTTAAATTAAAATGAAAACTTAATATTATGTGTACTCCTTTTACCTTATCATACAACCCGGAATATGTGGACATGCAAATATAGTTAATTTCCAACTAAAGGTTCACACTCTGCACATAAGTTATTCTGACCAGTGAAGGCAAGTAAAATATAGGTGAACTTAAACAAATCAATATAAATGTATATGTCCTCAGTAAGACAGTATAGATAGAAATCAATAACTAAGCTATGAAAATGCTAAACATAACTTTATTTTTCCATATCTTCTTCTCAGCACGCTCAGTGTGGACTTGACCTGAGGCACGTTACAGTAATCGAGCTGGTTGGCACCTACCCAGCACAGATCGGACGGATTCGACACAGGCTGCTCCCTCCAGCACTGGCCCTGCAGCTCAGGTACACACACACACACACACACACACACACAGCGGAATCAAAAGTAAAAGTACTCACTGTGCAGTAAAATGGTCCCCGTCAGTGTTTTTGGCCTCATATTACTGCTGCACGAATGTCTACGGTGCATTTTCGTGCTGTAGTAGTAGATGGTAAAGGTTCTGCTGATGTTAATTTATCCATATGTTGATGTGTTGAATCTGCAGCCATGCATCAGATTCTATAAGATCAGCATATTTTTGTGCAGTAGCTGTTCTGTGAGATCCACATATTTTTAAAATAGAAACAGACCTGTTTTCAGCCTTGTGGTGATAGATTTTCCAGCTGATTCAAGAGATTTTTGTAGTTATTTTGTTTTGATGGAAATTTGTAAACTGCAAAGCATGAAGCTGTCTGACAGATGAAGAAGAGTAAAAACAACAATTTACTCAAGTAAATACAAGTACATAGAAGTTGTACTTAAGTGCAATACTTGAGTAAATGTACTTCTCCACCACTGCTGCTCACTGAGCTGATGTGCGTTTCCTAGGTTACTGCTTCAGATTCCTCAAAGGTCTTTCCAAATGGTGCTGGTAGATAAGCAGGGAATGGACAAGCAACGCTACCCGTTCCCGATTACAGCAGCTGAATTATTCACCACCGTCGACACCTTCCCCCTCCGCAAGGACGAGATGGTGCTGCAGCAGGAAGCGGGCCAGACCTGCCAATCATAGGACACGGACTGTCAGCCATCTTTGATCCTTCTCCTCGTCAGTCACAGCAGTCTCCTTCTTTTTATCCTCTCATGTCACACCTGCCTACCGGAACTCATCCGGTCCTGTTTGCAGAAGGTGTGAGTGTGATCTGAAGCATTACTGAAAGAGGTCACCAAATGGAATGGGTCACATAGTACTTTACAATCATATTGATTCCTGTGTCTTCTGTATCTGTATGTTTTATTATTATTGATATTTTCAAAGCAGAATGTTTTATTATTTTTTACAAAATGTTAATGAACCGGCGTCCCCACTTTTCCAGTCTAATATTTATACCTCACATCTTTTAATAATAATTTACACTCTTTGAAATAATGTGTGTGTTTTTTATGTATTTGGGACAGTGATGCTTTGATTAAAAGGTCTATCATTGATGATGTAATCCTCAGTGTGTCAATGTGAGTGCCAAAGACATGCATCGTCCTCTGAGGACAACTCAAACGAGAAATTGAAGAAGTGTACAAGGAAATCCAGGTGCGTCTGCAATCTCACTGCTAAATACCACTTAATCCTACACACACCTCCTTTAAATCATGTTCTTGCCCATGTGACCACATGCATCATTATTGGTCTCGCTCAACATTTTGAGAAATACTTGTATTAACGGTCTCAACCAACCAGCAGGAACTCCTTAGACGGTTGGTTGTGTTACGTTGTGCAATGTGAACTCACTAAACCTAGTTGTTGACTTATGAGACAATAGATAGAAAAGGAAATGTGTTTCACTGGCAGACATTTTCTGTTCCAACTCCAAAAAGAGAGATAAAAAAGTCTTGAAATCGTCGCAGAATGTGTTGTATGAACACACAACTCTGTTTCCATGTAAAAAACAGGACAACACCAGAGCCTGACCTGCCGTGGATTCATTTACAAGTTTCTCCTGATTGAATAAGTGGAAAAAAAGCTGGAAGCCAGAGAGTTATTCAGGGAGCACTTTTACAAACACCCAAAGCCACAGTTATTTAAATAAAACAAAAGTGTCTGAAATCCATTTCTTTTTTCAGTCCTGGTTAAGTGTTGCTTCATTTTTAGTTGGATTTAATAAACATTTTACTGGTTTATTGAATGTCTCATGACTCTTTGGACAAAAAACAAACCTGGTGTAGTGATCACCCCACACCAGGACAGCGCTCCTCTAAACAGTTACACTCTTATACAGAAAAGGCAAACAGTCTATGGAAAGATGGATTTATTTCAAAATAACAGATTTGCGACCAACGGTGTTTAAATACAGTTTGATGGTTGGAAACCAGACACGACGGAGATGCATGCTGTAAATCAAGAGCTGCTTCAGTGATCAGGTATTGCACGAGCCTCTCATCTTAAGTATGTTGTACATTAAACACCATGTATTATTACTATAATTGTGCTGTGGGAAACAGTTCAGGGAGTTCACAGCGAAGGGTAAGCACGACAAAAATAGCATTCCGTTTGAGAAAAAGGTTTTTCACGGTTTAACGGTTGAACGTTTGTTGTGAAATTAGTGATCCGTCACAAGAGGCCGGACGGCAGCGGGGACAAGGTGAGTGCCGCTGTCTCGTGATTAAGATCCCCCTGAGATGAAGGCAGCTCGCCTCAGCGCTGACTCACTCTTTAACCAGCGGCCTCGCTCTCTCAGGGTTCCTGCACTTTCTTTACTGACGATCTGTTCACCAGGGCGCTACATGACTTCCTAATGTCCCTCTAATACCGTGCAGTTTCTACGGTCACACTGATACAGTGATCATTCACATGGACCTTAGTTATTGTGTGACCTCTCTGGGTTCTTTTTCTTTGACAACCAAAGGTGGAAAGCAAGCACCTTTCAACGCCTTTAAGCCACTTCATTCTTGATCAACAGAAAATAATTGGCACAAGATTTTGAATTAGCTAAGTCTACTGCGACAGCCATGCGAGTACCTTTGTAAGGCTGTGAATTAGCTCAGTGGAGGTTTGAGGTAATTGCTAACATCAGCATGCTAACATATTTCCAAAACAATATAATGATATTTAGGAGGTATACCATATTAATCAACTTTGTGTAGCCTGTTAGCATGCTAGTATTCAACGATTAGTACAAACATTGTTATTACTTTTGGCCGAAAAAAAACGTTAGACACAAGACAATAAATGTCTGTAAAAAATGACAATATTTTAAGTCGTCTGTCTTGTCCGTGAGGGAATATATCATCGATATAATTGCTAGTGTGGCTAAAAATACGCAACATTCAATGACTTCAGTTCTCAGATCTGAGAATTTGTTATCTTGTGCTGTTTGATTTCATCGTAAATCGAGTGTCTTTGGGTTGTTGTTGTTTTACACATTTTCTGGCATATTTTAAAGTAACTTATTTTTTAAAAATCACCTACAAATTTAGCTGCAGTCTTTGTTTTTGAGGACACTCCAAAATCAGTATTTATACTTTTACCTCACATTCAATATCAGAGCAGCCTGTAGGCGGATACTCAATTATTAACAATATTACTTTGAATCTAAAACAACACTTCTAAATAAAAGATGGTCACTACTTTGAAGATTAAAGACGACTGAGAAATTTGACAGTGCTACTGTTCTAATTCCGACTAAGTTGTTACCCTCTGTAATAAATAAGTCTACTACTTGAGGAGGACATTAGTACAAGAGCTGGTCACTTTCCACCTCTGTGTATAAGGGAATGACTCCCGTCCAAGTCTCTTCGATCGCAGATCAGTGTCTCATCTAACGGCTTAACAAAAAGGTCTCCGTCGGCTGTAACTACATGCAGATACATGAGGCACAGAGACGAGGACGGACACATCTGGATCCACACCGTGTGCTTATTCCACTAGCTAAGTTACATACGACACATGTTTTTCATTTACAGTTGTAAACAGCAGTGCTTGGTCAAAGAGGAGATGCTTATGCTTTGGAGGGGGGGTAATGGGTGTAAGGAGTATGTAAGGCATGACTGGCTGAACAGGGTGTATCAGGGGAAATAAGTGGGCAGAAGCACCATCTCTATTCCCTAATGAGTGTTTAAGTCCTAGCCGCTTTTTCTTTTTTTCTCGAGCGTTCCACTTCTCCAGCCCTCTGCCTTCACGTCACATCTTACTCTCACTTTGGTTCTTCCATGTCCTCTCTTGTCTGTTGTTCCTTCCAGCTCATGCGTTGCACTTGCGCATGCTGGATCGTAGCATCAGAGTACACTCGTGAGGGATTTCTGGGTTTTCAATCATGCGTTGCCACAGCCGCTGTTCCTCCCCGTATGAATCCATCCAGTCCACATCATTACCGTAGCTTTTGCCTTATGGGGAACAAAGACAAAGATGTAAATATTTGGGTTACTATATTTGGGCGAGCCCGAAGGAAAACACTGTTGGGTAAAACACAAAGTCCTATCTGTAGTTAACATAAGTTTTCATTTTATGTCATGTAAACAATATGTGGTTCCTTTAAGCACCTATAAATTTAATAAATGTTCTAATTGTCCTTCATTGACAAGCCAGACTATTTTGGGGATTTGTCAGGCAATTTCATGCAGAACAACCACCAATTGGATGTCTCTGTAGTGTGTAAAATACAAAGGAAAATTGGCCTCCCTTTCCATTCCTCCCAAATCACAGAGCTCACAATTTGTTTTTCACTCTGCAAACATCGATAGCTGGAGGGAGAATGACTGCTGTTTGGTATCCATACATGACTTTCATTTTGTGTTTTTAAGACATTAAGACATTTTTTAAATCACATTAAAAGCATGTGTTCATGGAGCAAACGTCACAGCACAGATTATTCAGTTACACTAAAAGTTCTCAAGCAAATGGAGAAACTGCAAAGCTACAGAGGCTTTTATCATCGTATTAGAAATTCAGTGCAAGACTTTTATGACGTCTCGTGCCGTCAATCCTCCACACACCTGTACCAGCTCCTAGCCTGACTCCTCCCAGGAAGACATTGCTGGCCAGGGCTTCCTTGTCCCACACGGTGAGCTCCAGGCAGACGTTGTTGAGGTCTCCTGGCTGCAGGCCGCAGTAGGTGAAGGTGTGGTTCCACTGCGGGTTCACAGTGCGCCGCTCCACCACCGTCTTGTGCTTAGTCGACTTGTTGGTGTCAGGGAGGAGGTATCTGGCAGGGGTTGGAAACAATTTTACTTTTTTACTTATTTAATGTAACAAGGGAAGCAAGGACCCAGAGGAGACAAAAAAACTACAAGTAAGAGAAAAATGGGCACAAATCAGGAATCAGGAATCAAGAAATTGCGTCTCCTTATCTTTACATGTCTTGGAGTTACAAATAGCACCCGTATTTAAACTTGAATTTATAACAAAGAACAATTGCATCACGTATCAATTGTAATTTCTGAGAATCATCGCTTTGAACTGTTCACTAGTCTTACATTGAAGTTTACAACCCCATGAGGAAATCGTCTCACCCTTTCACAAATGGATCTGAAGTGCCTCCAGACTTGACCGCAGTAAGATTTTTGGCTCCTTTGACCAGCAGCTCGACCATGCCCCCTCTGGGCAGAGTGAAGCTGCTCGTCTTCCTGCTTTTCAGGAAGCCCTTTTTCACTACGGGACGCACAAGAGCAAAAAAAAAAAAAATCGTCATTTCGAACGTTTTTTATACGTAGAACTGGAGAAACAGAGCGTCCGAGGCAAACACATTCCGCACAGACATACACATGCATCTTGTCTGTACACAGGCAAAGTGTTCAGGACATAGAGTATATATTTATATAATAATCATGTGTTTTTAACACAGAAAAGAGTATTTAGGCTTCAAAAAGCTACAGTATGTATTCAACCCATAGACACAAAAACTGAATATCTAAACAGAACGCCCTTAACTTTCAGTGAGACGATAAAAAGGTGTTAGAAGAAATCTAAATGCTAAATTTCTGTCTGAATAAATAATTTAGTAACGCATTTCTTTTGATATTAATTCAGTTTAAAAATTCACTGAAGTATAGTCAGTGAAGAGATGCAAAGATCTGGACAAAATAATAAAATTTTCTTCTCAGCTCCACTCCAGCAGGAGCACACTGCACCAATTTGAGACATGAAATTATCAGAAATTAACATTAAATTGTGTACAAACATTTTATGCTTTATTTTTGACAAATATAAAATAATCCTTCAATAGCTAATTTCAACAAGCAAAAAAAAAACAAGCAAACAAACAAACAAACAATTAAGTAAAATGTAATAAATGTATTGATCATCACAATTATACATTTACCTTGTACTTGGTCCAAGGGCAGCATGAGGTTTTTCTCTGCAGGTATGTACTTCAACACGACAGTCAGTTCTCCTTTGTACTGCATTGAGGAGTCCATATTACTCTCCGCCTACACAAACATAGTTCACAATATTAACAATCCACTCAACAGCTTGTAACGTCGCTGAAAAGAACCCCAGCATGTGTGATAACCCTCCGATTCTGGTTTCTACCTTGGGCTGCAGAGCGTACCAGTCCTCTAACTGGGAATCAAACTCCCAGGAGTCAAAGGTCAGCTCCACCTCCCCCAGGAAGCTGTTGTGTCCAAACCGGTCGTGGTGCCACACGGACACCTGCAGCGTCCGAGTCTCCAGCTGAGAGTGGCTGATCACGTACTGCACCACACAGCGAAAAACACCAGCTCATTGTTATGAAAGTTTGAAATACTTTCGGTTTGATTCCTCGTTGGAGGTTTATGGAGTTTTTCGGCCACTGACCCTGAGATTCTCGTTGAAAACAGGGTTAATGGTGTTGGCCTTGATGCTCGTCTTCCTCTTGCTCTGTCGTGACGTATCTGGCAGCAGGTACGTCTTCACATATCTGCCGTGGACAGAACACCGCGACTCAATCGTGCTCTTAGGCCTGCATGCTAGACACATGCTGGACCAGTCACACTAAAAGAAACAACTAAAAACAATTTGGAAAAGCGAGTGACTGATTGTGTTTTTTTCTCACGTGTCAGAGCGCTGCCGCTTCTCGTCTCCTGTTGCCAGGTTGTGACACTCTTTCACCAGGACGTTGAGAGCACCAGTTTTGTAGCTGTAGCTGATGTTCAGCAGGATCTCACCGCTCACCCGGGCGTTGCCATAGTCACCAGTCTCACTGTACATGCTCATCATGCTGTTTATACTACTCTGTTAGGCAAAGAACAAAGACAAGAGAGGTGGAGGTGAAGCTCAAGGTGAGATTAAAAGGAGGGGGGGGGGGGAGGAAACGGTGCATGAGGTATAATGCATAAAAGAGAGAGGAAATCTTTAAAAAGATAAAGAAAACAATTACTAAAGCATTAAAGAACGCTGATGAAACAAGTAGAAATAGAACAGTTGCATCCCTCTATGAACGTCAATCTGTTGCAATACATGGCAATGTTGAGAGGAAAACAAGATTAATTTCTACATTGCTGCATCCGCATCCCCACAAGGTTGTATACTGATTGTATACAGTGATTGTATGCTGTACTGTAGATTTTCAGCCTGATGAAAATATATGACGCAATGACTCTTACTCTCATCCAGGCTTGCCTGGATATAAAAAACTACAGTATTATCTGGAGTGAGAATCTCGACAGTGACGCATATGGTTTATGCATTTTCTAATTAGCGAGTGAAAGCATAAGGTGGAAGTAAATAAGTGACCCTGATTTCTACATGTGGTAATGTATATCTATACTATGTATTTTATAGTTGTGTCTTATTCCTTTCTCTTTTATTTCTCTCAGAGACACTTTTGACCATTCTTTAGTTCCAATAGTTTCCTTGATTGACGTCTTGGTTGCTTTAAAAAACAGTAGATAAATAGGAATAATAACAAATACTTGTCACAGTTTTTCAAAATTTGTTAGGAGAATGGAAGCTGGATATCATGTGGTTTTGTTATTGTCTGTGCCATCCAAAAGTTCATTTCTCATTGACAGTTGGACACAGAGTTTTGTTGAAGAGCACATTTTGCATGTTGAGTACCTGCAAAACACATTTCTTAAATAGATGTTGGTGTGAGCACGAACTGAATTCAATATTATACCGAAGTATGTGTGCGCTGATGGTTTTGTTGCTGCATTGTACTGTTTTATCATTTAGTGGTGAATAAAAAGGCATGCACAGATGTGGAAACGGAAAACTTACAGTCTCAGCATCTGAGTCGGGGATATTGAGGTACCCCCACCTTCTCTCTGAGCCAGGAGTGGAAGACTAGCAAGCATTTTAATTTATAAGATATAGAGGAGGGAAGGAAGTAAAGATGGAAGGAAGGTGGGCGGATGGTTGGCAGGAAGGGAGGATGAAAAAGAGGAGAAAGAAGACAGGTCTGAGATCTTTGATGTGTCAGTGAGAGCAGACCCAGAGCACAAGCCCCCCCCCACCTCCTGAGGAGAAGATGCAGAAACCCTGTCTACAGGAGCACAGCCAGAAGCCATAGCACGTATGGTTACCATGGTGATTATCAGATGAAACCACAAAGATTACAACTCTTCTGTAACCACTGGACATAAACACACACACACACACACACACGGACAGGGCAAGTCAGAATAAGGCGGGTAGTTCCTTTGTGATGTTTACTATTTCAATGGGAAATCATTATTTTAAATTACGTTGAGCCACAGTAGTGTTGTAGCCCAAGTGATGATGGAGAGTGAAATATACCTACAACCTTTATAATTCATGAGATGACATGATGAATGTCCAACAAGCGGGACGACTGTCTCGCCTGTTTTCCACACACACACACACAAACACACACACACACACACACACACACACACACACGGACTGAACAAGCTCATGAATGGGACATAAACCAATTATTTGGGCTGTTTGAATAACTGGATTTTCTGCCAAACTTGGTACTTTATAGGCAAAGTCTTCAATTCAACTGTGCTCAAAGCCCAGAGGTGTGAACATGGGAAATCAACACCTGTCTTGATAATATGCAACAGCACTGACACACATGTAAAGACGTAAAGGCTAATTAACAGTTACAGACAGCAATCTGTCACATTACGATACTACATGCTATGTTATGTAAATGCAGCAGGCTTTAGAAGTTTACAACGCCAGAGGAAGACTGTTTACACTGCAACAGTACGCAGGCAGTGAGTACTACAGTACGTAGGCGCTCACACATCGGCTGATGGTGAGTGTTTCAGCACATTCACGTGTTTGCGCTGCGTGAGAACACACGTCACCTCCCAGAATCTGCTTCGGATAATGTTATGTTTGCACCGGGTTGCTCATGGGCGTTACCGTGGACACGGCGTTGCTGATGCGTCGGCTGGGAGTCTTGCTGTGAGCTGACATCAGGGCATCGATGTCTTCCTCCGCATCCTCATCAGAGAACTCCTGCGAATGACGGCATTCAGATTTAATCAGGACGGAGACGCCATCCGGGAAGCAGGCCAAAGCGTCTTTGTACAAAGCGCAGATTTCCACCCAGCAGCTCTGTGTGGGTGGAAGCAGCCAGCTTCCATAAATTCAACCAGACAAGTCGGGGCAGGGTACTGTGATTTGTTTAGTTGTTGTTCACATGCAAAATCCCCAATCCCATTGGGTTTCCATCAAAGTCAATAAATGGAGGAGCAAGAAAATAGATGGCTCTGTGTGTGTGTTTGTGTGTGAGACAAAGCAGCCCTATAGTGACCATCAGATCCTCCACCTGTTGTCAGCCTACAGCCGTTTAGCAGCTTGTCGTGCTCTTTGGAGTGAGCTCATCTGAAGCCTCACGTTGAGTTCACCAGCTCACATCTGGAGCTCAATACGGACACACAGCACAGTGGACGTATGTATTAAAAGGTTACTGGAAAATCTATGCGGCGGTGGTCCTGCGGGGGGGGAATTGGTTTAAAGAAACCAAATCAGTGTGAAGAGTCACAGCTGAAGGATGAAGAAGGAAAGCGGCGAGGCGGCTCACCGCTTCGTTGAGCCCGGGGACCGAACGGCTCCGGAGACTGAAGGCGTCCTCGCTGGGATCAGAGCCGGCAGCCGACAGGTCCATCTCCGAGCGGCTGTGATCTGGTGCAGGGAGGGTGGAGAGGGAGGCGGGGGGGTGGGAAAGACAAGAAACAAAAGATTTTGGGACTGAAAAAGGGACTGAGGGACCCGGAGGGCATATAGAGAAACAATATAAGCAAACAGTAGAAGAGGAAAGTGGAAACTAATTATTCTTTCCAGGTTTGGGGGAACATAGTGAATGTGAAAAAGCTGAGAGCAGCCGGACAGAAAGCTGCCTCTTACTTTTCAAATATAACTTTAACTACACTGAACTTAAACTCTGTATGCCCAAGGAAAAAACTAAATCAAACATATGTTATTGTACATGCCCACGCACGAAGAAGCTTTTGATAGTGTTTGTTGGATGTGTTGGACGCTGCTACGTCAAGCCTGCTGACGCAGCTGACAGTGTGTAGCTGCGGGGAACAGAGCGTGTGCGCTGCGCTGACGCACCAACGCTGTAGGTCAGCAAAGCCGTACTGGCTGTAACTGCCGTATGAGAGTAGACATTACGGCACCCTTTGCTCTGTTCTATGCTCTATGTTTATTGCACCATGTGTCACTTGGCTCGGGTTTTGTGGTTTGAAAAAGCTTCTGTTTTGTTTGTTTTTTGTGTTCGGATCAACTTCAAATTCAGTTTATAGCTGGAAGGCATGTTATTTAACTTTAGAGACAGCCGGCATAGCAATCAATCAAAAGTGGAGTAGGATTTTGCAATGTGAATAAGATGGAAAATCTGCAGCGGGCCACTTATGCATGAATCTTTGAAAAGAGAATCAGAGAATCAGAGCGTGAAGATCTGCGGACTCTTCCGGGGACTAACTTTATCTTTGGAGCACATCCAACGACACACAGGGCACAAGGCTGTGAACACAGTCAGAGAGAAGTGCACGGATAGTGGGCTATTCAAAATAGATCATTCAGCTGGAAATACAATCAAAATGGTCAGCGCTACTGTTTAATACTGAGTGCATGATCTGACACATGTGCAGGCGTAAGTGGTGATCCTCCTCTTTTCCAGCTCACGGCACTAACCGAGCCACTTAGAGAACATCCTGACACAATTGAGCAGTTACTAGTGGAGACAAAGGATCTGAAGCTGAAAGACAGACCATTACACTTATAAAAAGTAGAGAGTTCAACTCGTTTTTAGCAGAGCGGCAGACAGTCACAGGGCTGTAAGTTAATAATGTTATTTATGCACACGTTACATCTGCTCCCGACTAAGTGTGCGAGCCGCTGAGTATTTGTGCACAGCCTTGATTGTACCGTCTAACGTGACCTTTGGCGTGATACGCCGCCTCTGACTCACTTACATATTAAAATGGTTGTGAGCTAATAAGCTGCAAGACAACAGCGGGAGTCCAACATGAAGCAAACATTTTAAAAAGGCAGTGATACCTGATGAAACCGATGCCCTGGACACAGAAATCGTCGGGGTGCCAGAATTTGTTCTGTGGTGGCCGGAAGCTTTTTTCTCCGGCACAGCGTCACCAGAGTCAACGCTGGCAACGCTCTCCGCTCCGTCAGGCTGCGTGCAAACACAAATCCAACACACACACAATGTTTGAATAACAATTTAAACGGCACGATTCCCCCAGTGTGATGCTGTTTGTGTGTGTGTGTGTGTGTGTGTGTGTATATATGAGTTGCTGACCCTGACCCTCCGGTTGTCGCTGGGAGCATCTGGAGTTTGGCAGCGCAGGTTATTGGGCACGGTGGGCGTCCCCGAGGACTCCAAGGCCTCGGAACCGGCCCTGAAAACACAAAACGTTTAACACACATGATATTCCCTTTATCTTTCATCATGAAATATCATTTAAGGCCTTTCGTTGTTGTGTATATATTAGTTAAAGTGATTTAATTGTTACTGTCACTTCACTTTTCTTTGTAACCAACTTCTCTTCTCTATTTATTAACACAGTTTTGAACAAGGTACCTAAATGCACAAAAAGAAAGTCTCTAGTCACATGTTGACAAAGGTCACTGCTGAGAGCATTATTATCTATCTATTAAAACATGCATCGAGATCTCATTCAAGTAATTCCTCATTAGATCCTGTTTGGGACTGTATTTTTATGAATAATAAATCATTTTAAATCAGTGGTATACAGCACACACATCAGTCAGTTCGTAGGTAAGGATGGACACCTGTTGGAACGTGGACTCGGTGCCGAGCGAACACTTCTTACGCTTTGAGCGTCTCCATCCGATACAGACTTGACACTGGCGCTGTCGACGCCGTTCTCCGGCTTCAGGGCCGATCGGCTGCCTTTTTTATCCATCTTCGCCCTCCTACACACACACACACACACACACACACACACACACACACACACACACACACACACACACACACACACACAGGAAGCCCATTATCTACTCTTTAAGAGAGATAGTCAGTCCATGTCCATTATTGAGTTATTACACAGAGTGCCTTTGCTTCATCAAGATTATCTAAGTCACAACTCCACAGGTTGCATCCCGCAGGAAATCTAGAACAGGTCACATTATTGTGATTAATTACTTCCACAATGTACCTGCTGAACATCAAAGTCTATATGGTCATTGTGAGTGTCACACTCGTAGAGTGAAGGCTGACTCAAGGGGGGGGGGTCACATTTAAAAATGTAGATCCTTCTGTAGTAATGCACATTTCAAATAACACACATAAATGTGCAGGTAATTACATGTAAATATAACTCTTTGCCACACCAGCACGCCAAAACCATGTCTTTGCAAGTGCACTTGTCAAAATTCTGGCATATGAATCAACTGTTTATGGATGACGCAGATTCATATAAAAGGAATCAACATTGTCCCCCCTCTGAATGCTCCCTCACACTTTTAATATAGTTATTACTGCTATGATCTTTATTATTTTCTTTAATGACAACATCATTAGTCAGATCACTTATGAAATAATCACAGTTTCTTATTATTTTTTTACGTTTTTGGACTGAATCACTGTGATGCCTTCAGGAAGAGTGCAGCCAAGATGTGGAGCGGTAGAAGCTGGTACAATCCAGTTTTTGCCGTGTTGCTTTGCCAAATAAATAAAAAAATGTCTCTCGCTCAGATCAAATGAGTGGCCCCTTGATTGTTTCTCTGTGCTGAGAAGTTGAATTTCATGTGCACTCTTTCTACTGCACTGCTGCATTAATCAAACAAAACCTCTAATATTCGGAACATGTATGTGTTTGCATGAACGTAGATGGAGTTGTTTGGCTCTTCCCCTGCTTACCCTTTCCTCCTGGCAACAATGTTAACTATTGCACTTCTTTTGGATCTTGGGGTGTCGGATTTCTCCAACTCAGAAGGGGTTGACAGGTTCTCTGTTGACTTTTTGTCTGTGACTGGAGATCAACAACATGTTATTGATGCAATCAGAACATATCCTACTCCACATAACCCGTCTGGTTTGGGAAACAGGACACACGGTGGTGGAACTCACCGGTCGGGCTGCTCATGATCGTCTGTTTGATTACGTCGCTGCTCGGCGCTCCCTGCTCAAAGCGCTTGGACCGCTCCTCCAGGAACCACTCACCTGTCACCTCCTTCAGCTCCCTGCAAACACACAAACACCAGCCTCAGCGTTCAGGACGCACAAAGACACGCCAATCGGAGAGTTGTTTTGTGACGTCACAGTGACGCCGGTCTAATTTTGAAGATAAACAACAAGCCAGTAGGATTGTTTGACGAATAATAGTTTTACTAAGTGCATGAAGGTATTGACAACACATTGCTGTCAGTACTTACTCAATGTATAGAACAACAATTCCCAATAATAATAGTATTATTATTATTAATTAAATATTTGGCAACAACTGGAACTGAATAGACAGAAAATGGGTCGACCAATAATTAAAATACAAATGTAGATTTCTGGACCGTATTTTACAGCATGCAGTCTGCTTCAGTTTCACAAATTCAGTTTATTTCTTCACATTTATTTCTGTTGGATATGCTTTTAGTCGGAATGAGCCAAAAACATTGCTACAAGCACACAGAACATTTTATTTATTCTACTTACACAAAAACATTTTCATGGTCACAGTGTTCAGCGCGGAGGGAATGGAGAACTTATCTGTGCTCCAGTAATAACGGAATTGATTTTTCTCATTGTGTGAATGTTACGTGTGCAGAGCGATTGCAGAAATATCTGTAAACATGTATAAACCCCCAAAGTAGGTACCACAGAAAAAGGTCTTTAGTGCACAGGTGGGTTTTGGGGGGGTTGTTATTTGCGTCATTCAAGCCCTATTAACCCCTCGAAGAAGACGGCACTGAAAAAGACTCCATACTGACAAATGGAGACGGATGTGGTGTCATTAACTATCTGATCCGACCCTTCTGGGTCCCGTTGCTCTTTTATACAATAAGCTGTTTTTAAGGCATCGCACTTACGAGATCTTGGCACAAACGTTACATCTCCACTGGTGTCTTTTGGGGGTTGTAACGCGGCACTCGTCGCAGACGCGCAGCTGACACTCCTTGCAGAGATCTCCGCGGCCGAAGATGAGGCCCAAACTCTTCATGCAGCGGGCGCACTGTCGCTCCTCCGGCTCCTGGGACCGACGGGACCCTTTCCGTTTGATCTCCAGCAGCTCGTTCTTCAGCTTCCTGCAGGGAAGAACGAGGAAAAGCTCAAGGGACTTTAAAACAACTCGCTAATATGAACGGCAAAACGGCAATGCTGAAGTCCTCACCGTATCCTCTTCTCCTCTCGCTTCCTTAATTTCTCATCTTTCTGCAGCACCTTGAGGATCATGTCTCTTTCATGTTCCAGGAGAAAGGAGAGGTTCAGATCCTCCCCGACCTGCTCCATTTGTCCCTCAGTCTACACTCGGCCGGTGAAGTCACCAGAGAAAAGATCTTGCAGGAAAGATGTCAGAATGAGCTACATTATGCTAGAAAAAGCTCCTCTTTGGCAAATGTTCTGCTAATAGTTGTGGTTCTTTTAGTGCTTGCATACTGCAAAGTGCGTATCTCCAGCGTTTCCTCCTCTGATCTTCTGTTTCTTAGGGGAGCTGACACGAGTGGACCGTTCTCAGGAAGCCTAGATGAGGTCAAACAGACACGAAAGAAAATTGGTGAAACATGACTGACATTAATAACTCTTTAATAATAAAAAAAAAGATTAAGAGGGTTGACAATAAAAGTCCTGGATTAAGTGTTTTTATATAGAATGTTAATTAATGCATTTATTAAAATAAGACAATGGTTTACAGGATGACAAGAGGGAGCACAAGTAATTGGAAGACATTCGACAGCTCTACTGCAGCTTAGCAAGCTCCCAATTAAGCTCCAAACCTGACATTCAGAGCACAACACCTCCATTTCTCAGCTTCTATTAGCAAAGCTGTTTCCTGAAATTCACGACAACACCAGGTCTAATGATTTGCACACCTGAATGTCAATGCACTCAGTTAAATAACATTAATTTGGCAGATGTTTTGTAGAAAGATGGACGGAAATGTCAGTATGCAGGTGCTTCACTTTTGGTCCTGACTGAAATACGTTATAGCAACATGGATGGATCTAGGGGTCCCTATTAAATCAATTAATCTAGTCAACAAGTCAACAAAGTCAAAAGAATGTTTGTCAAATAACAATTTATCTGCTGGTTCTTTAGTCTGAATACTATGAATGAACACAGAGACTCGATTTGCAATAGTCGCTGTGCCTGACCAAGTGAACTACAGTGAATTACCCGATTTGCACAGAAATTGCTATCCATGCTTTGAATGAAATTGACTACGGAGATCAGAAACTGGTACATATGGGAGGACAGAGACACAACTCTGCCGTTGCTTCTATAAATTAAGTTTGAAAATTAAAATCTGGAGCGATCTGCATAAGCCCACAGCAGCCTCCTTCAGTCCTTATTCATTACTGTCTCATTCATCCTCGGCCTTTCTTCTCTCGCCTCTTCCCTTCACTTAACATAAATTAGCCATAATGAACCGGCAGACATCATCTCGGCTTCCTTAGAAACCAAAGGCACACCGTGACATTAGTGATGATAGCATTTGAGGCTAAATTGCAGATATATTGTAACCAACCAAAGATATTTTCCTTTACAGAATTTTATTCAGGAAATTATACAGATTTAAAGAAATACGGATGCATTTAAAATACTTAAGCTCAATATAGACAACCCTTATGATTCCCTGACTGTGACGAGTTCAGAGCTTTGCTAGCGGCTCTGAGAGGCTCTGTTGGGCACAAGTGGTGCTTTGAGCGGAATGCTAAAGTCAGCATCTTAACAAGCTCATAACGCTAACATGTTGATGTTAAAGGGGCTGTTTTATGTTTGTGTAACAGCCCGCCAAAATTAGCTGATTAGCGCTAAACAGAAAGTACAAAGCATGGCTGAGTCTAACAGGGTGTGATTAGTTTTGCATGTATTTGTTCAGATCGATCAGGACGCACCTGATGGTGTCAATGAAATAAAAGTATCATCACTCATAACAATGCATCCTGAATGTACGAACCAGATTTCCTGGCAGACCATAAAATGGACGTTGAAAACGTTTTAATCTGGATCAAAGTGGTAGATTGAGAAGCAGTTGTTGCCATTTGGAGCCAGTGAGAATAAATAAAAACAACTTGAAGTAGCCTTTTGTCTTACTTCCTGGCTTTCCGACTTGCTAAGTTTGAGCTCCAACTTACTCTACTGAAAAACGGTAGCAGATATCCTACACAGTCGCATTATACTGAATTATGCTTTTAAAAAACGGAGTTCATGTAAAGCAAGACAACTCTAGTAGCCAAGCAACCGTGACACATGACACTCCCGCCGCTCTGGACTGACTTCAACAATCAATAAAGCAAAACTAATATTTATCTGAGCATCTTTTATTTTGCTGCTGCGAGAGCACAACAGTAGCTCGGAGTTTGAGTTGCGTGCTGCAGTGGGCGTTTGCCCTCCCTGAGTACACACCGCACGCGTTCCAGCTGCTGCCCTCGCTGCCCTCAGCAAACACCAGTCACCAGACGGTTAAAGGCGGAAATGGACTCCCAGCTCCGCGCCAATAAGGTAGCTACAAGCAACATTTTCATCTCCTGCACGATTCACATTGTTCAAACAGGAATCGGATGGTTTATCTTTGCTCCACCGGAGGACATCTGGCCACAAAGCCACCCTGTAAACTACTGGATCTTCTTGTAACTACGTGGCCTTTTACCACCTGTCAGTGAGGTGTGATGCTGCAGGTGAAAGAACCCAGGAGCGGTGAGAGCAGCTGGACTCCAGCTGGCAGTAACGCAGAGTAGACTTGGATGACAAATGCTTCATAGGATGAACGTGATATTAACAAAATGCATTTGTTACCGAACAGTCAATGAGTGGACCCAGGAACAGAGATACCAGCACAACATGAGTGTTTCAGTCACAAACCACGGCCCACAATGCTTTGGGAACAGCTTCAGCAGCACTGCGCTGCACACAAAACTCATTCATGTATACGGCCACATCCGAACTAACTCTCACAGTTAAGACGCAGTTGAGAGAAGCATCTCCCACATATTTTAAATTGAGCTTTCGTCTTGTTATTTCAACGAGGGGCAGAGGATTTTTTTCGTTGTCTTAAAGGTAGTGGATAATTCAGCTTTTTATCCTTGTGTCAGCATATCCCTTCTCTCCCGGGAGGATAACACTTTTCCACATAATTTACTTTAGCATATTTACTACCGAGCAATGTCGAAAGCAGCCCGGCCAAATAATTAATGAATTAGACAAACTACACAAGTTCAATGCAACACACAGTGTCAACTGTGTTGACCATCATGGTCAACATTAATGTGACACGGCAGCAGACAGACAATGAGCGGCAGCGGGAGTCTGTGGACGCCATTAAGCAGCAGTTCCCTTCAGCTCAGCCAGAGACCTCTGTCAGCTGGCCAACACAGACTAGTACCTGGTACACGCACACAGAACACCAGGCGTGTATTAAGTGTAGAAAATGGGAATCATTCATCAGAAAAAGTCCAACAACAAAAACTCCGCCGTGACACGCTGGCTAACGACCATGCTGAGTATGTTGCGTATAGAGAACAAGTGTGGCTTTTGCCCGAATATCATCACGGTAACAATGGTGCTGATCAAAGAACAGCAACGCTCGGTTCAATGGCAAATTCAATGGCTTTTCTAAGTAGTGAGACGAGATGAAGCACAGGGGACTTCAGTAAGATTTCTCCACATCAACGTTGAAGGGTCAGGCCAATCAGATGTGCTTGTAGTGAGTCAAACATTTCCTCTACACGCTGAGGCTGCTTAATAAAGGAGTAAGCACGTTGTTTAAACGGTGCACTGCAGGTCGGGACAAAGAGCCACACGGTCGTCGTTGTACCTGAAACCGTTTTCCAGCCTGCGCAGCTTATCTCAATTCAGAGGAAATGAAGCAAATACGATTCATCTTGCAATCTCAGCCGCGTAGCTTCCTGCGTGTAATCTGCTTCCTGGGATCGGATGTGGCTACTGAGTCCAAGGTGTGAAATCAATAGAAGGCCCCCGCTCTCACAGAGAGCTTGAGATGAGGTCTGGCGTGCAGGAGGAGACTAGAGAGGTTTCTGGGAAGAGACCTCAGGGAGGAGGAGGAGGAGGAGAAGGAGGAGAAGGAGGAGGAGGCACGTTCAATTATTCAATTATATATGACACGTTTTACAACATGTATCCTTTCTTATGTGTACTTTTCACCGACGGTGTGACCCCCTCTGGCCGTCTCTCTTTTTCTGTCGCTTGCTTTGTTGCTCTCTGACACGAACACACACACACACACACACACACACACACACACACGCAACACACCTCAGGGTAGATAACGTATCTGCACCACTACAGTGCTTTAATAACCTGCTCTCTCAGCCTGGAGACCCGTCAGACACCCTGTTTGTGTCACTGCTAATCAAGCGAGGACCTGTCTGCAAACACTCCTTTTTCATGCTGAGGACCCTCTCCAGTGTCCATAACTCTGCTGAGACATGAAGACCATCATATTGGGTCAATCCAAATCCAATTTGAGACCCCTAATTACTTTGCAGGCTCAAAGGCAATGAAGCGACGTCAGGCAGCCAAATAAATCCCTCACCTCTGTCCAGCCTGCCACTGTGTGCAACGGTGACTTGCATTCTGTCCTCACGCCATTCGGCCTTTTGTCTCTGAATGTAGGTCTGCTGGGAGGGTGAAGATGTCAGACTGCAGCCGAGGGAACGATCCAGCTGAACCACAACCAATGCTTTGATCTCTAAACTACACATTTTCCATGCTTGGATAATTGCTGCACAGGAGAGGGGGTCAACTCGGTAAAGGCCGGGGTGCACAACAAAGTAATTTACGTGTCTGAAGACAAAATTGATTGCGGTTGCTATGACGAGCCTCACCCGAGGCCTTGGGGGATGAAGACGGATGTCATATTGAGGAGCGAGAGACAATAATCTCTCAAGTGGGGAAAACAGCGTCTCACAACGAAAGGCAGTCATGCTGCTGCACTCATTTGTAGACAGGAAAGGTCACGTGAAATGTTGTTGGAATGTCCGTTTCAGAAGGATAAATATATTGTCGGATGCAAAGTGTCTGTATTTTTCCGTCGTGGTCCTTGACCGATGGTCAAAGATCTTTCCGAAGATGGAATTAGGGAGCTGGATTCAACACTCTAACAGTCACGCCAAATTCGGGGGTGGGGAGAGAATCCAGTTTTAAATGTCTCTCTTTTTCAATCTGCTCACATCAGGTCGTGTGCATACAGCCCAGTTCCACACCAGGAGTCCATTCAAACGGAGACAGCGTGTGCATTGTTAAACACATTTCAACAACGATCTCGTTTCCACCTGCTCTGACAGCCAGCACCGCTGTGGCCGTTTGGAAAAACAAAATCGTAATTTCTGGCGTCCTTTGTACAAACTGCTTTGTTTACTACTTAGAATTGCCAACCCCCACCATACAGGTGCGATTCTTCCACATGCGTACGCAGTTCACGACACTTGAATATATACTTAGGAAGGAAAAACACTTTTTACTGCTAGGATTAAGGCGCTATGGATTTTACATCCATAAAA